AGGGCCCTTTATTCCCCCGGTGGAGATGAAATGTAATGGAGCCGATTCAATAAGAGCGCTGCCTCCTCGGGAAACGCGGAGAATCAAATCACACCAAATCCCTCAGAGCCTTCCCAGCATTCACTGCTGCCTTGTAGCTGGGAGGGGAATAAAACAATGGCAGCTAATTCACTTGGCTCTCTGCGTGCACTTACACCCACAAAACAGGGATGGAGTGTGATACAGAAGTGTTGAGGGCTAATAAAGGTATTCGACAACGCGATGGACTGCTTCACAATATGTTTTTAGTGAATGCAGCTTATCAACACCTGAGAAACATGAATGACTACTGGAACTGGCAAAACATTCTCTGGACATTGTCTGCTGTGACTTTACATTTCATTTCCTATTTTAGGGAATTTAGGAAAAACAACACAGTGACAAATGTCAGCAGATGACAATCATACACTCTGGGACCTCAGTGAGGAATATTTTTGTAGCTGTAATGATGGGAAAACATGGGGGAGATAAAAACACTCAGCTCTGGACAATATTTTGCTTGGCAGGGAGAAAGAAAGATCACCAGTGTCCCAGCAGCAAGGTTATGCAATTTGGTTGGGAGCCAAAACAGAAACACTTAAAAAGAGACTGTTTGCAACCTGATAGTACACCGTACCACCTACGCAACGCAACACAACCAAAACATCTTGTGCTTCTGAAAAAACATCCACATCATCCAATTTACTGTCTTGTTCAAATAAGCAGCTCTGAACATAAACAAGAGACATCGTCTACGAAGAAACAACGTCTCATCCTGAAAGTAAATGTTACGGAGCGGACTCTAGAAGAAAGAGCTAAATGTTGTTTCAGGACCGGTTGAGCACACGGTCCTCATGGTCATGGCTCTTTAAAGCAAAGGAAATGGCAAACTGTTCCCGAAGGCCTCTGAAGCTCCTTCAAGCCCCTTTTAGTTGTTTTCTGTTTTTAAACCTCCGCAGTTAAATTGAATTTTCTGACAGAGCGATGTCTGAAGGAAAAAAAGAAGCAATTAAAAATGAATTCCACTGGATATTTATGCAGCTGCATGTTTTGTTTTTTTTTGTTTCCCCTAAGACTGCTAAAGCGCCACGATGCTAAGAAAGTGCAATTGTACATTTTACAGCCCCAGGAGGAATTAAGAGACCACAGGGGTGGACTGATTCTGCTCTCCTCATTTAGAGACTCAAGAAAATGTTTTGGCCGTGTTGTTCAGAAGGTTGTGTCAGTGTCGGGGTTAGTTTGGAAGTTTGGATAACATGCTTCAGGAAGATGATGGTAACAATGTTGATGATTCTTATCGTTAGTAGCAGTTGTACTGAGAGTATGACAGCAATTAAGGGTTGTGGGAGCAGCATCAAAGGCGGTTTTGCCCGTTGTGATATATTTAAGCCTGGATTACTCTCCTTCTGTAGTCAAAAGTAGAGCAGTTGTGATCCAGATTCTGGACATGGTAAATGCATTGTTAATGCCATGGTTGTATCTCATCTAGACCATTGTAACGCATTATATTCCTGTCACAACCAAATGTCCATACAACATTTACAAAATGGTGCAGTGTTCAACAACGCTCTTCACTAAATCCACAAAATATAAACATTCTTCCAATTTTACATGCACTAATTTGACACCATCCAGCCCAAATATTGCTTGCTTGATATACAATATTATCTCTGGCATGCTATCATGAAAAATATCACAATGTTCTATATTATAGAATATCAGCCTAAGCCTTCCACTTACAACTATAGCCTGTGTGGAGTTGTTTACTGCACCCCAGAGTCTCAATCTGCTGATGAAGATTCACACTCAATTTCTGAATAGATAAATATTATAGTATTTACTGTTTGATACAAGTCTTAATAAAACCTGTTTGTAAGTTGAGGAGCTTCATTAGCTGGACCTAAATTCAGGCTTTTTTTTTTATCAGGGCAGTTATGACTACATGCAGTCAGGGTCCTGAGGCTTTTGGATTAGTTTTCCTGAGGGTTGCTACTGAAAACACACTTATGTTTTTTCTCATGCAGTTTTACGTATTTTAAAGCATTGTTACTGTGTGCATGATTTAGATTTTTTTGTGTTCATGTTGTGTTGTGTGCTTTGCTATGCATTTTCCATTCATCACTGTTTTAAATTGTGCTTGTGTTTGCAGTTGGAAGCCCTGCGTAACCTTGTTATGATATGTGTTATATAAATAAACATAGTTATTATTATATAATATTCTAAAGCTTACAAATCTCTCGGCTGCAGCCGGGGCCCCTTCCATTTGAGTCTGAGTCATAATCTTGTGACAATCACAACATGGCAGCGCTAACAAGAAGACCATACAAACACGAATGTAAAACCGTGACATTTTGAAAGCCATATCATGCTTGATTTGGGTCATGAACTGGGCATAAAATGCATTAAGCGCCACAGACTCAGCCAGTTAAACTGATCTGAGGCACAGAGCATCACCCTCAGTAGCGAGCTGACTCAAACGAAAACCCCAAACTGTTTGAGTTTCAACTTAAGTGTTAGTGTAGGAAAAAAAGTTTCTACGGACATGTTGCTTTGATCAAATCTCCACAGTCTTAAAGCTCTGATATCAGTTCATGCTGCCATTCGAATCCCACAATAACAAACACTCCCGCCTGACTCTCCCTCCTGCCATGGCAGGGTCTAATTCACTTCCTGTTCAGTAGAGGGAAGAAAGGCAGACAGGACACAGGAAACACACTTCCTGGTTCTCTCAGGAGGTATATTTTTCTTACTACGTGTCCCTGGCACCTATACTGCTGTAATCAAAGCCTCCTAAACAGAGCGAGCATTTCACCTCCGGGGCAGCGTGGTTAGCCATGAGCAGCAGATATACAGTGTGAAAAGTAACACCGAACAGCTGTGTTCATAACCACATAAAGAACATTATTCAGGCAGAACATTTTTTTGTGCTCTCAAAGGCCGCAGTCCAACCAAAGCCAAACATAAGTAAGACCTGTTGCTGATATTAATCGAGAAGACCAATATTGCCTCTGCCTAATTTCTTTGTGGTGGAAGAAAATGAAATGCAATAATGAGACACGTCTCTGAGGACCTGTGGAGCAGTTAGCCAAAGCCTGGAGTGCAATGAAATGCACTACTGAAGTTAAACGGTCATGGTTATCCATTTCAGGGCTGCAACTACTGAATACTTAATTGTTGAATAATGCATTCATTATTTTTCAGACCAACTAATTCATCATTTTACCTATCGATGTAAACAGTCAAGAGGCTCATCGCAGGTTCCCACTGCCAAGGATGATATCTTGTTTTTGTCCAACCAACACTCTAAAAATTCAATTCAATTCAATTCAATACAATATATAAATAAATATTTGCAAACACGGGACTAGTTAACACTTTAAATGTGCTGCTGCTGTTGTTGTTGTTGTTGTTTTGGGCTTTAGGGTGGAAGCTTTCCTGTAAAACATGTTCACCCCAAAGAGGTATACAACTAAAACCAATCACATACTAGACTGAGGGAGACAAAAAAGAAATAGATTGCTTATGTGGTTACTGAGTGAAAAAAGCTATAAACTTTAATAAGATGATGATTAGAGTCTAAATCATGAGTGAATTCCCTCTCTTAATTAAATAAAACTCCATATTTGTAATGTTGTAATATTATCTTCTGTTGTGCATGTGCATACTTCAACGCAGTACTGCATCCAGGGATACAAAAAAAGAAGAAAAAAAAAAAATCATACACTGACAACAGCAGAACCATGAATTATGAATCAATACGAGCTACAGCACTCTTGAAGTACACACAGGCTGCCGGGGCCATCTGGGGATGCGTGAAAACCACGACTAAGACAAACCCATTCATTCAGCCGTGGATGTACCCGCCTGCAACGCCTGTGTTTCTGCTGCGCTGCAGGCTTCCCTCGATTGGCTTCGAGTTTCCCAAATCCATCTTGGGGCCACGAAACTCAACATTCATTGATCGGAGGAGGATTTGGGAGCAACTCAGCACGGACCTGCAGTGCCGACAACTGCTGCTGCTGCTGCTGCTGCTGTTGACAAGACGCAGGCTTTTAGAAGATTCAGGCTTTTACTTGGCTGGCTGTCACTGCAGTGGACTTTGCATTGGTATTTAAGTTTCATAACGCCGCTTGGCTGCTGTAAATGAAGAGAAAGCAAGAGCACAGTGGAAAAAGATCTCAGTGCCAGCCCAAGGTGATTATTCTAAGTGAGTGACAGCTGTCAATCATGGGCTCAGACGGAATACATTCACAGAAAGGCAGCGAAATGCAGCAAAGTGAAGAGGCAGCAACGAGGTGAAATCAACAAGAGAATGAAAGACAGAGAGAAAGAAAGGTAGAAAAGGTCAAGCGGGGCAGAAAGAGAGACAGGTATTCAAAGGTTTTCCATTCACTCACTACCTCCCCAGAGTAATTCCACCCCCACCCCCCCCGAGACTGGCGCATTGTGTCTAGCAGTCGGCGAGCTGACATTTACCACCTGCCTTCTGTTGCTGTGATTATTTTCTCCTCCAGGTGTGATAGCCAGCCTGCCATCTCTGCGCAATAATGCTGCCTCAGAGTTACAAGAGCTGGGAATGCGAGGCGGAATCGGGCCCCCAGACAGACCTTTTCCCTGAAAATACCACCACTGGGCTGTGGTTCTGAATTGGGAGGCATAAAGGTTGCTGAACTGTGAATGGCAGCCCGTGACCCGGTCTGAACGGAAATGGCATCTTGAATGGGAATGTGACTCCAGTGGAATTCATTAGTGTCACCAGGTAATTAATTCATTTTTTTTCCCCAGGGAAGACAGTCGGCAACAAAAGGAAAATAAATGTGACGTGGGCTGCAGCTGAGGAGTTTGTTTTTAAAATAAGAAGAAGTCACAAAATTTTATAAAAAAAAAAAAAAAAAAAAAAAAAAAAAAGGAAGGAAAATCGACCCTCGCATCAAGCTCTAAGAGAATAAATCTAGAAACAAATGCATTAAATCCACCCCTACCTGTCTGCAGATGGAGGCCGGTCATTGCGAGCTTTGCTGACTTGGGTGTAGAGGGAATCGGAGTGCTGCTGCTGGTGGTGTGGATGGATGTGGGGGTATTCGTCTCGGGGGCTGTGGGGTCGGCTGTGACCGCTGTCCACGGAGCTGTTCAGGGGGTTGATTCCGGCGTACGTGTGCTCCTCCTCAGAGGACCTCTCCGGCGTGCGGCTTATGTCCAGAATCTCGGCGTAGTCCCGTTCCCTGGCCTGTCGCTCTCTCAGCTCCCTGGTCTTGGCCTGGATCCTGGTGAGGAAGATGATGGAGGACACGTTGATGCTAAAAGTCTAGATTTCCTGGCTGAAACTTCAATACTAAGTCCAAATAAATACAGTCCTGTGTAGCTTGGGGCCATCTCTATTAAAAATCTTTGCAGTTTTTGAACTGTACTGCATTCTGTTGTTATGTTACCAAATTCCTCCATGTGTTATTGTTACACATTCATGTCACATTCATGTATCAAGGACTATCAAATACACCTGTGTTTTATTGTGTTATCCTTGGCAAGCATACTGCAAATGCTGCTTTTTGTTGTAAAGCAAATTGGCCAGAAAATGTAACATTTACAGTTCATTTACTCTCAGATGAAAGTCCTTTCCATATTGACTTGACTATGGGGAGACTGACAGAAGAATAAGCCTGAGTTTGGTCATTTTAAATATTATAAGAGAGTTGTATTTTATTATACAAACATTTCAAGGTCTGAAATAGTCTCATTTGTCAAAGTTCAGCCTCAGTAAGTGGAATGAAAAGTAAAGAGGTACTGTCACCCTGAGCTACAGCACCTCTTGTAAGTGACATTAAAGGGCTATTGCAAACATATATTTTTATATACTATATTTATATATTGATAACAGCACAATAATAGCAACATAAAAGAAATACTATTGCAGGATACAGGCAGAAAAAAAAAGATGTAAACATATTATATTACATATTTAGCACTGCACAGGTGAAACCTTTATGTTGCTAAAGCTCTATACACATGCTGTAAACCTCAGGTGTCACATTAACAAAACACCAGACGCACCGCTGCAACATCTGCAAGTGATTGTTTACTGTGCCTTTTTAGCTTTCCATTACAGAAAAGAGAGAAGATGTGGAGTCTATTATTTATGCTTTTTTTCCCCAATGAATAATACCATAAACAATGCATAATAGTCTCTCGCCCCCTCAACACCTCGAACAAAGAAAGCACTTTGTATTCAGAGTGCTGCTAATGTATAGCTGCTACCCTTTTCTCTCTGTGTCTCTCAAACACACACACACACACACACACACACACGTCTGACACCTTTCTGTCTCACACACAGAAGAACTAAAACACACAGAAATCATACGTACACTCTTTCTCTTTAGGCCATTATCTTGTGAATAACTGGCAACACCATTTTCTACAGCAGGGGGACTACCTATTGCGCAGCCCCATAATTACAGCCATGCCAATTATCAGAGCTTTACAACTACCAATTATCATACTGCTCTCTTTTCTCCAGGCCCCTTTTTAATGGCAGCGAGAAAGCGAATGGGACAGCCGCAGTGGTGGCGAGGTAGGGGGTGCAACTTCACTGAACACACAGCGGGCTGAAATCTGAAATGCTTCCTCCAGAAAATTTGCATGCTGTGCATAACGAAACAATAAGTCTGATAAGGAGAGCTCCCCATTGGAGGGAGCACAATGTGAATTAAAAGAACAGAAATGAGAGGGATTACTTTAAAACACCTAAATAAGGCTGCTAATGAACTTGATAACTAACAGCTCCCCACTGAATCTGGACAGGGGTAACAATCTTTTTTAGCAAAATATACACTTACTCCGACAACTCAACCTATGTCAGATGAAAGCTTGTGGATTTGCACACTGCGTCTGTACTATTTGTGGACTCAGCAATTATCTAATGGCGCAGAAGGAAGCAGGGCCCTTGAGGGATCTATCTTTAAACCCAGAGGAAAAACAGTGTTTTCCATCAGAGAAAGCAGCAGCAGGAGTGGGAGCAGCTACTGATTGTATACACAAGCACAGTGGCTGATAAGATAAGGCCAGACATACCAATCCAGCCGCCTGGCCTTCGCCGTGCAGACCCCATTCCATAACGAGGCCCTGGACGGGGTCAACGGGGCCAGTTTCTGAGTGAGGAAGGATGCAGCTTTGAACCAGTTGTGTTATGTGACAAAGGACACAATCTGAAATCTAAAGAGTTGAAGTACTGAATAAACGGCTAGGACGGAAACCTACAAACAGGCCTGAAATACAGTATATGCACTGTATTTTATTATCCATTGATCTGTTGATCAATGGATAGGTTTTGGTTCAGGTTTGTTTCAGTTTGGTTATACTCTTAACATTTTTCATATTGACAATCACAGTTAATTATACTTATTAAAACAGTTAACAATAACCAACTTTAAAGGGGCTATTAGTAAGTTTTGTCTGCCGCCAAACGTGGTGTCTTGCTGGGAGCAGGTGGTGGTGATTGACAATTAACGAGAGCTTCAGCCATCGTTGTGTTTATAAGACAAGAGGTTATAACGCTTACTCTGAGCAGAAGGTTACAGAGAGTCACTATCGGAAAGTGACGAGACATGTCGGGGCTAGCTGGTTAGCATGCTAACTTCATTAGAAGAACAGACACAATAGAGACAAGAGATAACACTGGCGTTGCTTTCTACCGACGGAGACAGCTCTTGGTGAGTAAAAGAATGAAGTTTGATGCTGAACTTGTAATGTTTCTTCCAGACTGGTAAGTAAACAGCTGCTAATGCTAATGTTAGCTATGCAGCAATAGCAAAGCTTACAAATAGCTCCTTCAAAGGAATACACACACACAAAAAAATCATTTTGTTTTAAGTATTAAACACACACTCTGTTGGGTTGAATTTACTGTCATCCACTCTCAATGTCTCCTGTCACAAATAATAGATTTTTCTAACAAAATATTGATAAATATACATTTTGCATTCATCACTAGCATGTTAGCAGTCACCACCTACACTACATTAGCAGACAAAGTGAACAGTTAGCAACTAGCGACAAGTGGAAGCTGTGTAACAGTCATATTTTTGGGGAAAACTTGTATTAAGAACGTACTGAGTTTATATTGACGGTGGAAAAGTAGATTATGGTTGTCTCTGAAAATCTTTCTTTGCAGTGGATCTGTGCCACCACTAGAATCCATTGTAACTGGTTTGAATCCTGGATGTCTACAGCTGCCATCTTTCACTAAGACTTCAAAATTTTAAAACCTTTTTGAGCCACCTTTAACGCATGCAGGAAGTAAGTGTTAACAGGAGTATTCCTTTGAGACAAAATCAGACAAAGTCTCTATCTATGTCAATATGACAAGCACTTAACAAGCAATGTGGCTAAAACTGTTCCACAAATACAATTACGTTGATTGAAACGGGAGAGGAAGGAAAACCACACTTGGCCTAATCATTAACCTCTCAGTCCCAAAATATTTGCGTAAGGGAAACCCTGTTTTCTCTCTAACGACTAACCTTGATGAGAGATGAAAATACTCTCAGCATGAAGGGTAAATGGAAAAAAAAAAAAAGAAGAGCAACAGGAGAGGTATGAAGAGAGTCAGACGTTAAACAAAGGAAAGTGCAGAGCAGAAAGAGAGAGAGAGAAAGCATATAAAAGGGGAGAGAAGCGGCAGGATGGCACATTATGGTAGAAGAAAGGTGTTTGACGAGTGACCTTTCTACCACATCGAGTCAGAACAATAGTCCATTATGTGCTATTCTACCCGCTGTGTAATAAACCTTCCTATGCTGACATAACTGATAGACCACAGAGAAAGGCAGGAAGTACATGAAGGGAGAAGGTCCAGCAGGATAAGATGGCTGCTGAAAATCCTTTTTGGATTGATATCTGGAAATGTTTCATGGTTTGGAGGAAGAAATTTTAGCCACTTTTGAAGCACTTGCTGTGTTCTTCAAGGGGAATATTGCAGGGATTTGATAATTCATATGGGTCAACCCAGCTATGCAGAAGCAAATTTGGACATTTTTAAGAACGCGACATTTCTCTGTTGCACTTAAATGGTAAGGAACCACGAGAATACATTTTACATTAGAAGAGCTGATGCTGAGCAGCAGCGACTGGGTCAAGGGAAGTTCACTGGGACAAATGACTTGGTATACTGTGCAGAACAGTGGCTGCCTCTTAAAACACACACTGGATTCATACAGGGCCTGATGTGTTCAGTGTTGTGTGCTTTGTGTACAGATAGCTCTGGCAAAAGAGAGTGTTATGTTGGCTCAATTTTTTTTGCCACAATACAGGCCAATATCATCTGGCAACCCACTGTGTTGGCCAATCAAACAGGTGCAATCACACATGCCAGGTAGAATACCTTGCAGTTTCTGATGTAGCATGTTGCATTGTCCAAAGCAAAGCTAAGGATAGTACAGCAGCATTAGCATTAGCAAACACCTTAATTTTACTAAAGAAAATAAGCTAGTGAGAACTAGCAACTGTATGTACTCAAATAACCGTGAATGTTTCCAATCAATACACGGCAACTATCTGATTCAGGCCAAACACATTATCATATACAGTACATTGATGTCAACAGTGAAGCATCACTTCCATACTGTGTATGCATGTTTATGTGCTCTTCAAATGACCATGCATTACCCCCCTTGCAAACATCAGTGCACTGTCTGAGCTGTCTGAGCTGTCTGTTTAGATTTGTTTGTCTCAGTTGGGGTGGGAGTCCACTGGGACATGAGACTTAAACCATGTGATCCATCTAGTCAATCACAGCTGGATTAACCATAGCCTCTGGCAGTCGCCAATCAATAGGCGCTCTGCAGCAAGGTGCCAAAGCTCCCAGCTGAACCCTCGCGAGGAGCAGCTTGGCGAAATGCAGCTAACTGGATTGTTGTTTAACGCCGAAGGAGCCATGGTCCTCCACAGTCCTCCACAGTCCTCCACAGTCCTCCACAGTCCTCCACAGTCCTCCACAGTCCTCTGTGGGATCTCCCCGTCAATATCGGTGCATCTCAGCTAATGGTTAAATCCAAATGAGAGAGAAGCGTGCTTGTGCTTTTCAGGTGCTTAGGGAGGTGGGGCACGCTTGGTTGGAGTGAGTCAAACACCCCACCCTGAACATTATAATTATTGCACTGATTTAAAGAACTACTGTCAGACAATCCCCAGATACTTCCTGCTCTGTGAATGCTCAGAGTTCCTACGTGCATTTAGCTGATTTTTGGTTTCTCATCCCGCCTTGTGCCCGATTTCCCTTCGCTCTTTCTTGCCCTGAGTGCTTTACATGACAAAACCACTACACACTAACAAACAAAACAAAACTGAAATGTGAAAAATAACTGACCCACCCACTTCTCAGCTCTTGCAGAGGCAAAAGAAGAAAAAGAAGACGACACAGGTGTAAAATGACACTGACACTACTTCTCTACACTACTTTGTGTAATGACAGGTATTACTATATCTGATACAAACAGATTTACGTCACATAGCCTACTCCAGCATGTAGTGGCATTCAATTCATTTACATCATGTGCTGAAGGTTTAAATGAACCCAGATTAATAGATAATATTCCTTTTAATGACACAAGAAGGAAACTCGAGATTGAAAAGCTTCACATCTTGAAGGATACACAAAAGGGAAAATGTAATCGACTTTAATCTACTATGAATTCAGAATGTAACCGCAAAAAGTACAACTGAGTCCACTGTATCCTGACAACACTGTAAAACTGCACAATGAGTTGAATGAAGGTAGAAAAGGGAACATGTTATCTGTGCTGCTCATGCCTGAAATAACACAGTAGTATTAGTCCAGAGGTCCACAATGGTCGCAGCTCCATCATGGTAATAAATGCATGTGACTTCAATATTTGAGGACAGGAAATAACAGACAAGTTACAGATTGGATTAACATACAAAGAGACCATTCTGAACTTTTAACGATACCCGGCGTAACAAACCAAATCATCTGACGTGGCATTTGCGTTAACCTAATGCCAATTAAAAATAAAGACGAGGCTATTATCATATTATTGGACTATCTGCTCTGCAGGCGTAAAGAAAAAATTACAAACCAAATTTTCATAACGAGCAACTGAGGGGAGTAATGACTCCTGCCCCTACACCAAGAGCATGGGAATTAATTAGCTGGCAGGGCTGTAATGGCCTTGGCATTTATAAACCGCTGCCCCCAAAAATATTGGCACGGTGCCCGTCTGACATTTAGTTTGGTGGAAAGAGAGGGAGACGGAGAAGCAGTGAGACATGATGTCTCAGGGCTGTTTGGTTTTGAGAAACCACCTGATAACAGCAATCAGAAATTATGTTTTGTTATCGGTATCTGCTCTTTTTAAAAAAAAAAAAAAGTTTATTTGAATTTATTAAACCATTAAAACACAGCTATTAAATATATAGAACATACCCTTGTTATTTAGTCTATAAAACATAGTAGAGGGAATTCATTCACTCTGATTGTTATGCAGGATTAAAAACACTGAACTGTGGTCACGACCTCCTTGTTTCCCTCATCATGCTGTTAGTAGTAGCAGCCATAACTCGGGTACAACATCCCTGTCCATATACTTCTGTGTACTTTTGGTCTTTCCAATTAAGGGAATTCTTACAGCATACAATGATATTTTAGACAATAATTTGCTTCCAACGTTGCAGCAACAGTCTGGGTAAGGCCCTTTTTTTGTTTTCTAATTACAATGCCCAAGAACACTAAATGAGGTCCATGGAGGAATATTTTGTTTTTGGTCTGCACTGAGCCCTGACCTCAAACCCCATCATAAGCCATTTGAGATGAAGAGAAACTCAGATTATGAGCCAGGCCAACATCAGTGGCTAATATCACTAATTCTCCTGTGGCTGAATGGGAGCAAAATCCCTGCAGCAGGTTCCAAAAGTCTTGTGCAAAGGCTTCCTAGCCTGTGTTTTTTTTTTTTTGGAAACACATTTTCAACAATTCGTTTTTTTTTTGGATGAAACATTGTCCGTATACTTTTGGCCACATGCTGCATATTAACTGATATATATCAAAGCAGGGAGCAGTACCAGAGGCTTTACAAGCCTTAGCCAAAATTAATTTTGTCGTCCACTAGTTTGAGCATTTCAGCTTTAATGAGTCGAGATAAGGAAGGCTAAGAGAGGCAAAGGAGGGCAGACAACATAGAAGCTTTAATTTGGATTTGCACTTTTGGAGCTGTGATCAAGGCTATTAAAACACATGGATTTTTTCGCTTGAAAACATTGTGAGTGATCCCCAAGAGCAAATACGAGTTATTTTATTCACTTGTGCTTCACTTTGATTCTTATAGCTCAGTAGAGCTGCAAGATTATGACAATTTGTAACCTGTTTGACATTGGATCCCAGAGTAACAAAGGACATGGGGGTCCAGAGACAAAAGGAGCTACACTCCCTGCGACACCTGCAGCAGAGAACTAAATGTAACAGCATTTAGCAGGAGCTACATCATCAAGACCTTACCTCTCCTGCTCCATCCTCATCTTCATTGTCTCCTCCTCAGAAACCTGCGTCTCCTCAGGCCTCCATTTGCTGGAGCCTTTACGATCCATCTTTTCGCCCGGCCGCTCGTCCTTTCGGTGCTTCCCAAACCTGCAACATAAAAACATGCCAAATTAATACCTGTTTAGTATACCTATGCAGCTATAATGTGAGGTTTAACTACAGTTTAACTTAAGACTCTGGTGTGGATTAGAGAGTTATAACAGAATGATTTCAAGGAAAATCTTTTAGATAATCTAAAACTAAGAGATTCACCTATTATTACCTGAAGTGAACCAGCAGGTTTGCTGATAAAATGCAAGACATTACTCTTAAACCACACTGCTGTCAGCCAGAACCTCGACGGTCCCCCCCCCCCCCCGCGCTCAGATACTGATCTGACTGAAAATGTTGTCTGTTGATCACATCACACACACACACACACACACACACAAAAAAAACACCCCACAGGTTTGATCGAGCCCTCAAATGAACCATCTGAAAAAGTACTTCTCACAACTTCAAACCCAATTCAGTTCGTTTAAAGTTGGGAGTGGTAAACGAAGAAGGCGTAGACGCGGCCCCATCACAGTAATTATATTCATAGGGAGGGAGTGACGCTTAACGAAATAGGAGCCATTGCAGAGATATTTCAGCTTGATTGACTCAGTATAAAGCTGCAGCCTGTTGAAGAAATGACTTTGGCACCGCACTCGCTTCCACAATGAACCTCCATGATTATTCACAGGGAAATTGGTCCGCAGAGAATATCCACGACTTCTAAAGAGACAACGTGTGTGTGCGTGTGTGTGTGCGTGTGTGTGTGTGTGTGTGTTAATGACACAGGCAGAGGACAGTGAACAAGAGAGAAAAAGAATGAACTTGCGCAAGAGAAACTCAATGAATGAAACATTAAAATCAGGAACTAAACTGCTGTGAAGAATACAAAGCCAAGCCCAAGAGGTGTGTGTTTGTGTGAGTGTGTGAAAGTGACTGAAGAAAGAGAGACAAAGTTAAAAAAGAAAAAAAAGGAAAGATAAAAAAGTAGGTGAAGGAAAGTGAAAGTCACAAGATCAAAAGCAAACCAAAGAAGTGAAAGAGTGGAGTATGTGTGTGTTTAAGAATTAAAGAGAAAAAGTGTAAATTGACTCGATATGAGTCAGAGAGAGAGAGAGAGAGAGAGAGAGAAAAGAGAAAAAGACACTGAGATGTGAGGGGTGTGTGTGTGTACGTATGTGTGCATCGAAAGCAATGCAGAAGAAAGAGAATTGAATACAAGGGATATAAAGTAAATCAATGAGAGAAACACCGGAAGAAAAGAACAAAAACAAGCAAATGAATCTGCAGAGAAAACTCATTGGTGTGAGTGTGTAGGAGTGTGTGAAACACTGAGAAACAAAACAGAAAGAAGTAAACAACATGGCATGGGAAGAAAAAAGGTGAGAGGCAAAAAAAAAAAAGAATGAATGGGAGAGTGAGAGAAAAGAACTGTACAATATTGGGTGTGAAAAACAAACAGTTGACATGGGGAAAATGGAAATGGAAGAATGGATGATAGTAATGAAGAGAAAGTGACTAAAGAATTTATTTGTGTGTGTGAATTAAAGCCAGACTGAACCAAGAATGAGACAAAGATAATGAATCAGTCTAGAAAATAAAAACGGCCCGTGACCCATACCAGGAAAAAAAGGAATAAAATATCCTCTCATTAAGTATTTTGGTCATTTGATCACCACTGCACAGTGCCGTTGTCTCAGCGTGGGGCTTTTGATTAAAATTCTTATATTAAATGAATCCAAGATGATCACAGACAGCATGTGATATGTACTGTCAATGGCACAATAACTAGCTCACAAGTGTCCATTAATTTGTTTCTCTTTTTGTCCATGAGACATTTAAACGTCTCATGGCAACTCTATTACTGAATACAGCTACCAAAATTATTCCTCAGGTGTCATAGCGAGTAGAAACCCTCAAATGACAACAGATTGTATAAAAGAGTGTATAAAAGACAAAGTGAGAAAAACCGAGAGATAGGAACGAGGAGGGGAAACTGCAGTGTGGGCGGGGGGAGGCCCAGAGACTAAGGTCCATTACCTGATTAATTTAACTGCCGCCGTCTGAAAGAGTGACGGCTTGCTGTTAATGCTAAGAGCAGGAGCGATCTATCACAGAAAGAGACGGTTGACACTTTGTCTCTCCACACCACTAACTTTCATTAACAGCCCCTTAAAAAACAGCCCAACTCTCCTTGTCACACACACACAGAAACAGCAAGATTTATGACTGAATGGGAAAACTTTGAAGAGGAGACAGAGTATTAACCATGACACCGGGGCATTTAATAATCTTATATTCCAGGCACAGTTAGGCCCGCCTTGTCTTGTGAGCCCGGCGCCATTGATAATGAGGCCTTGACAGGTTTCTGTGGTTTCAAACGACAACTTCAAAATGTCAAGGATTCAGCTAATTCAATTCAGCAGACCACCCATGTGTCACTGCTAATCCGTTTAATAGCACAAAAAGTGAAAACAACTGGTGTTGTGGGCAGTTTTGGGAAGCGTACCGGATATGCAGCACGGCTGAGAGGTCGGTTAAGCTGAGATGTCAGTACAGCACAAAGTGGTGAATTTAAGATAAATTCTAGAATGGCTGCCCCTAAAATAAGATCACTGTATGATGTCAAGGACACCAGTGATAAATGCAGGAATTTCCTACCTTCATTGACCATTTTTAATGGGCTATTTGTCAGTTTTCTATGTTGCCAAATGTTGTTTGTAACGTGAGCAGGTGGTGGTGATGGTCACTTGCTGAGAGCTTCAGCCATCATTGTGTTTACAATACAAGAGGTTCTAATACGCCCTCTGAGCAGCACTTCTTCCTCAGGACTGACTGGACGCTACAGTGACCCGCTATCTGAAAGTGACAAGATGGACCAGCTAGACCGGAGCTAGCTAGTTGGCATGGTAACTTCAGTAGAAGTAAATAAGTGATAGAAATAAAAGCAAAACATGAGTTAACATTGACGTTACTTTCCACCACTGGAGACAGCTCTTGGTGAGTAAAGGAATGAATAATGTTTCTTCTAGACAGGTAAGTAAACAGGTGTAAATGCTGACGTTGGCTATGTAGCGACAGCAAAAATGTACATATATCGCCTTTAAATTATGACACCTAGCGTTCCAAAATTATCACTTGGAGAAAGTTATTGAATTCATTTGCCATCCTGCCATAAAACGTTATTGAATGAAACCTTTTTTGAAAGCCAGTTTTCCACACTTAAATCAGAAATACAAAAAAAGGTTATTACATTTTTGAAATGAGCAGCTACAATTAAGAATGACAGTAACTTAAAATTGCCAAATGTGAAACATCACAATTTGTTTTTTACATAACCGGAACAAAGACAGCAACAGAATGCTAAAAGGATTGTGTGCTAAATAACGCATACTAAACATTAGCATGTCGACCAGCTAACTGCGTAGGTTAACATGCTACTGTTACCATACTAATGTGCTAATATTGACACTGAGCTGAAGGTACAGCTAAGCCAAAGTATACCTGGTGATGAGTAGGTCCATCTTAACTTATCTTATCTCATCATTTTTCAGCATTAGAGCCTCATGTCTCACTGGCCATGTCTTTATTTATAGGCACAGTCTTCATTACATGCATGAAGTGAAATTAAACAACATTATCAGCAGCTTAGATCTGTAATTGGCAAGGATTCAGCTCACCGCTTAACAAAGGTAAATGGACCATGATTTTTTTTTTATCTTGCAGACAATGCATTTCTATCTTGCTGAGTTCAAGTGAACAGAGCATGGCACATCAATGTCCCTCAATCCTTGACAAATCTGTCCTCAAACAAGTTCAGACTAAAAAAAATATAAGTGAGAGGTTTTTGGAAAAACCCAACGGCGTGAACGGTCAAAAAACAGATCATGACAACACATCATGAAGCTTGTCACAGCATGAGCCTTTTCTGAGTTCAGGCTTGTTCACTTGTTCATGGCAGTACACACACACACACACACACACACACACACACACACACACACACACACACACACACACACACACACACACACTAAAACCACTGCAAAATTAGCGCAGTCCTCGAATTTCTGGGCAGCGACCATCTTTGCAGATGCCAAGCTAACAGACTGGGTGTTGCTTCTGAGTCCAAGTGATGATCAGAGAGAGAGAGAGAGAGACACAGAGAGAGAAAGGGAGGGAGGGAGAGAGAGAGATGGCTACAGAGTTGGCAGGCTGTTACATTGGCAGGGGTTGATGGTAATGAGGCTTTGATTGGGACTGAGTGTGAGGCCTACGAGACATGAGAGGGTCAGGCGGTGGCAGCTCTGTTGATCACACACGCACACACACACTCTTCTGACTTCTACAGGCCTCCCACTCCTGATCCATCCCTCCTACATGCAAACACACATCAAAGTACAAGCTCCCTGACACTCCTGCACCGAACGCCTTCACTCACTCACTCATTCACACACACACACACACACTCTCTCACTGACTCAAACACACGACACCCATCGGGAGCTCTTGACACGCTGTAGAGCCACTCGGAGGGAACTAACTTGCTCACATCACATTTGGTCGTGTGAGAGGGCTCCATTTTTATAGGCTTTTATAACGTCGTTCTCGACACATCCACCCTCTTTGGTTTGGGGCCAGCACACACTCATGCATGCTGTTTCATCGTGACATGTTGACACCAACACAAGTCAAACATGCAAATACTGATAACTTCTTCTTTCCTTTTAGTAACATGTTTGTTGCTAGGTGCTCACCGCTATGCTGTTTGCTAAACCGTAGCTCCCTCATATTATCTGTCAGTCAAACAATGCAGTTTTTAATGGGATGTGTTTTTCTGTCAATGATATTCTGAGCATCTTAATGTGGCCCAATACGACATTACACAAAAAGGTGAAATAAAAACTATTACTACTACTATGAAAAATATTCCTATAGGGTAAGCTCAGGGGTAGTGTTACATGAAAGCCATAAAAAGTCATCTGTCTGAGGCGAAGACACAAGACCTGATGACAATCATATATAATCGTTCATAATTTAATTGTAATAGTCTAATCCTGTAAAACTGCATCGTTCATATTTGCCTGTTTAGGCCAAGTGGCAACCTCCAGGGCTGAAAAATGAAGCCAACGTGGAAGCGTCAAAAACTGCAGTTCCATGAATGGCCCCTTGAGGCTGTCTCCATAAATGAGTCAATCCCCATAGACTCCCATGTTAGAATGAAAAATGGCTGCATGGTTGGTGTTTCTGTTCATGTTTTCTCTCCATGCCCTTATAAATGCATAATGGCTAATGTGTTTGTATGTTAAATTTTATTGTGATCAACTTGTTTTTGAAAATAAAATGCTATTAAATAGTTTCATTATCATTAAAAATTTAAATTAAGGGGTAAGAATAGAGTTTTTGCGACAAGAAAGTTTAACCCAACTTATTTAGTTCAAGAGCAAACAACAATGTTAAATAATACAGCATAGGACATATACCAGAAATGATGTTTTTGTTTTCAGTGGATCTCATGGCATGGATTTGAAATGTGAGGTCTATTAATAATAAAGTTTTCCCAATATATTTCTCATGAATATTAAGTTTTGCAAGTAATAGGAAATAATAGTTTGTTTGCTTTACAAGGTGAATGTGCAACTAACCAACAATCAGTTCTCTTAAAAGCAAAATGGCTTAAATAATTCCAATAAATTTTGACATTGCTACAATATTTAAAGAGATAAATAATAGTGTTTGTTCCGAAAGAGAAATATTGGACAAGTCAGTCAGCTAAATGTGAGCAAATAAAGTCCTTGTGAAGAATACAGTATTTGAGGGGAATTTATGTCTTAACAAACCAGAAATATTAACCGCATCACTTCCTGTGCGCCAGATGAATTTCTCTGGTTAAAATCTACCTGACCTTCATTTGCTCTGAATGTTGAGGCTTTCACGAACTAACATGGACCACTGAGTTAATCTTTTGTGGATTATTCCTTTAAGTTGAGTGTGTGATCCAGACTAGACACACAGATGGGGCTGGACATATCTCACATCATTATTCTGGAGCGCACAGCTGTCTCTGCCAGTAAACACTGGGCGCAGATCAAACGGGCAGTCAGACAGAGTTTTAATGGAGCACATCTGATGTGGCCAGCATTGAGCCAATCAGAGCGCCATAACACTCATGTTATGACAATGCACACCAATCGTTATCATGTGGGAGGTGAAGAGGAAAACTGGACTTTAGTGTGTGTGTGTGTGTGTGTGTAAGCATAGAGAATAACAGCAGTGTGTATTTGTTGGCGACCAAATTGTGGATGTGTGTGTAAACTGTGTGGTCTCTGTGTGTGTGTGTGTGTGTGTGTGTGTGTGTGTGTGTGTGTGTGTGGACTTCACTTAGAAATATTTCTGCATGTATTTGCAGTTTGTGCACTTCAGTGAACCACATATCTCTATGTACGTGTGTGTTCCCTACTAATTATTCCTGAGTGTGAACTCTGCCTCTGTGCACGAGTTTGTCCATGTGCATCCCACTGATTACTCCATCGTGTGTGTATGTGTATGTATGTGTGTGTGTGTGTGTGTGTCTCTGACTATGAAAGTAAGCTGGTGTCATGTGAAGTGATCCCACCTGTTTGACACAGAGCCCTGCTGGCAATTTCATCTCCTGACAGCCAAACCCATCGTTTTTATTCACAATCACTGTCGCGCTCTCACTGTCCTCTATCCGCCCTCATTGTTTTGTCTAAACCCTCTCTCGTTCACCGCTCTCCCTTTTTTGCTACTATTTTTTATTATTCCTTCATCTTCAAAGATACATTAAATATCTTGTTACAGTTTTACAGTCTATGTATTTAAAGGCTCAAGAATGAAAAAGCCATTAATACAGATTTTTAATCATATCAGTGATACTACATTTTCATTTTCAACTTAGGTTTAGATATGATGGAATTGTAGGGCTCGACCTCAGATTCACACCAGGGTTGGAAAGTCAATATATGGACCTTCTTGGTCACAGGTCAAGTATTAACTGATGAAGATGTTACGTCAAAATCCTACCTTCCATCATAGGTTTTTCTTTATTTTGACCATTTTCTACATTGTAGAACAACGCTGAAGACATCAGAATTATGAAATAACACAGATGGAATTATGTAGTAATCAAACTTTGAGTTGTCATGAAGTGATTTATCTAGTATACATGACCTAATCACTTGAGGGTTCTCAATGACAACCAAGATAATTCCACCTGATGATGAAGACTGTGAGATGGAGCTGAAAGTTCCAGAAAAATCTACTCAGTGGACCTTGAGTTGAGATTGTTGTTGTTGTTTTTACCTTTCACTACCCATTGCACCAAACCATATCTACCTTTCTTCTTTCTCTTCTTTATCTCTCACCATCTCTGTGGATCTCATTACCTTCCTCTGTCAGACAACAGGCATTGTTTCCCTTCCCTGTCACCACCACTTTGGTTAATATGATATACGGATATATTACTGGCCAGGCCCTGAGGTTTCCGAGCCCATTTGGACACCAATGCTAATGTATACGTGCGTAGGAGAGAGGATTTCTGTCAGTTTAGCTGTAAGGGATGTTTGACAGGTGAAATGTTGGAGGAAACAGAGAAAGAATTATTAACAGGGACAGAAAGCAGACAGTTGTCTGGTCAAGTTGCGTGGAAGTCTAATTAGGGTTTCCTCGCACTATTTAGTGCTGTGGCTGCACAGCTCTGGTCTGAGATTTGTCTCTTTTACAGAGAAACAAACATATAGCTCTTTCAGATATATCCGAGCCTTCAAAAGGTGCATAGTTCTTACACTGTGTTCTTACACAGCCGCAAGTAGATGTGTGTGTTTAAGTTTCAAACTATCAGGAAACTTTTTGAATGTATATGTTAATTCCTGACATTAAACAGAGAGGAATATCTCGAAAATTAAAATGAAATTGATTTATGTAAATTTTTAGTGGGCCTGCCTTACTTGCAGCTCTGTAAACACACTTAGAAGCTTAGACTCACTTCCAACGTTTTATCATTTTACCTGAACATGTCCCCGAGTCCCTTCAGCATGCCCTTCTTGGCTTTTCCCTTGTCTTTCTCCTTCACTCCCTCCTGCTTCTTCTTCTCCTTTCCTCCCTTGTCCTTGTCCTTGTCCTTCTTCTTCTCCTCTTTGGTGCGGTTGGTGCCGTTGACCAGCGGTTTCTCGGTGCCGGACAGCGGGGTCTGGTCGGCCACCGTGGACACAGAGTCTCTCCCTGATCGTGAACTCTCCTCCGTGTCCTCCTCCACTGGGGAGACGGGAAAGACACACGGTGAAGGCGAAGAGGGAGAAACATGTTCTCTTTCACCAATGAACAGTTCATTTAACTAGTTCAGTTGCACATATGAAAATCAATAAACCTAATGGAAGAAAATCTTTTAGTCTCACAAAAGTATAATCATGTCTCCTAAGAACCAAAAGCAGCTGAATACAATTTCAATGTATATTACAAGTGATTGAAGAGCGCTGCTCCACAATTAGATACTTATCATTAGAGACCATCAGACACCCGACTCTTATAAAGTGATGAAAAGCAAAAACATTCATTACTAATTTGATGGTACTATGACATAATATGAGATTCTCTTCAGATGGAAAACACCACATTATTTCTGCTCTAAAATAGATGTAAAGGAATATAGAATGAAAAACTTGAAATTCTTTTGTGGCAGGAAAGATTTAAAGATACCCTGCACTGCTGTCTGATTCCTTCTTTAATTTCATGTGGACATGACATTTAAGTGTAGAAAAAAAAGAGAAGACCTGAAGAAGACCACGTGTTTCAAACGTCATTTCCACGTAGAAAATAGAGGAAGAATCAGGCACGACACAGACGCTGTAATTGTGACCTGTTGCTTAGAAATAATTCATTGTTGTACATGTGGTTCTTGGAGATTCCGCACTTTGTGTTGCGGATAACAATGAAAATGATTATCTTAATACACTTTCCTTTTTGTTTTGTGATAATAAAAACTGAAAGAGTGACTTTGAACACATTGTGTCGTCTTCTAATCCAAAGACTCTGGGAGAAGGCCAGTAAACGCATCACCAATTTCCCAACAGGAAGCTCGTCTATCACAGGCTGTATCCAGCCTCCTGACTCGTCCTCTTTGAGGTGCCTCACACTGACGTGATGCTTTTGATGTCCTGGTTACATCCTGAGTCAGCGATATTGCCATTGCCACAAGCAGTGATAAGATCAGCAGCGAGATACTGAGCATTAGTCAGAATGCTGCCACAACCATGCGTCAGTATGGAAGCCTCGTCAACATTTTCTGAGTTTCAGTAGCGATCCTTGTTAGGAATCGTCACTGCTGTGTTAGTGTGGTTTAGCATCATTTTAGTAACCCATAATGCAAAGTTATCAATGTATAATTTCACGATTCAGACACGTTCCAGGAGTTAGACAGGGACTGAGGTTGAAGTGTCTTGCTGAAGGACACTGACAGGACTCCCAGCTGCTGACAGAGATGACACCCGGGCCTTGGTGGGATCAAACCTGTGATTTTTCAGAAAGAGGACAGTCTTATTTAAAACCCCAGGTGAAGGTGAATCATGGGATATCTTACATGTCTCCATGCCCTCATCGTCCTCCTCCGTGGCAGCCGGTCGGTCGTAGGATTTGTCGATGGCCGCCCTGAAGCTCTCGTTGCAGCCGCGCCCCCTGATGATGCGGGGGCGAGGCCTGTGGAAGGGGAGGTCCCCGTTGAGGGTTACCTCGGCAACAGCTGTCTGGAGGCTCTCGAGAGAGCTGGACTTCTTTAAACCTAGTGATGGCCCCACATCCCTTGTGGAGGAACCTGATGGGAGGATACAGAGGGACGAGCTGTAGGAAAATGAACAGACAATTCTGACCAAACCTCCTCAGTCTACGATGGTGGCCGTGTCGAAGTCCCAATCAATATCCTATATCTTAGCACTGTATACTGCAGTGAAGTCCAGTCCAGTTCTATTCTACACAACCTCCTCTAACCCATTCATCCATTAGCTTTAATCAGCAACTTTTCCTTGCAATTCCTCTTGGAGATGGAGCAAAAAGAAACATGCTGTTAAAAAGGTAGGATGTTTTCAGTGACCACATCTGTACTATCTCGCTAAATTGACTCATCACTGATTGGTGGACGAGGGAAAAAGAGAATTGCTGTGGTCAGTTTGAAGCAAATAACCTGTGCTCTCAGTTCTGATCTGTTTCTTCATCTATTTTCTTACAAAAAAACAGACTCACAACCTACAAACTAGATTCACTTCTGTTTCATTCCATCTTAAAATGACCTTAAATACTTTCCTCCCATCTTTGATACAATAATAAATAACAAAATCTGTCATGAATCAATACGTAACACATTGACCTTGGTTGTGATTAAAGTTGTGTTAAAATAGTCTTAAGGATAAAAGGATGATGCGATGCAAAAGAAACATTACCGTGGGAGTTATGTTACAAGATGACTTAACAGGATGATTTAAGAGGATGGATTGAGAGGATGAGAGAGACTTTTTTTTTTTTCCCTTTTCTTTCAGCACAAAGACTGACTCAGCAAACTGACACATATTTCACAACAAGCCACTTCCTGCCATTTCCAAATGACCAACAACTACAGCCAAGAATGACCTCAGACTCTTCCCACTGTGTCCACTATGATTTTATGTAGCTGCAGGACTGTTGGGTCATTTATGTGGTGCATTGTGGGATTTGCTCCAGCCGACCCCACCGTGACGTCCACTGAAAAATGAGCGCCAAGTGTGATGGCAACAACACAACACAGACGCCCGAAATACAAAACCATGTCACTCTCAGGCTGCGTTCTCTAGCTTCCTATTTGTTCCCTATTCTTGGGTGTTGACCTGCTCAGTTCTGCGGAGATTTTAAATGCCACAACGCAGTTTCCGAGACACTGTTTGTCCTTCTTCACCCAGTTAATGCAGGGGAGGAGGATGAGATGAAAGGTATTCAATAAGGTTTATTTCATGCTTCAATTATGCACATGGGTCTGCCCAAAACAGAGCAGATGCATAAAGATAATGAGGCCACTGAACATTGAAACTACTTCATAAACCAGCTTTACACACACACACACACACACACACACTTCAACAAACTGTTGCTTCTCAATAAGCAGGTAGAAAATTCTTATTAATGGTCCCATTCTTGTTATGGTGGAATGAAAAAGAAACACCTGATCCACCAGAAGCTGCCCGGCCTCAGAGGATAACAGGCAACTCGGACAGTAACACACCATATCTAAACTTCAGCACCAAGAAATCGCGTGTGTACATGTGTGCGAGTCCGTGTGACATTCATCAAGACTGACTACACATTTCACTACTAAGATGTGGCTCCGAATGAAAATAACCATCAGCAAAATAGGAGAAACATGACAGTTCAATTAAACTAAGACTATTCGGTGCTATAGCGGTGCGGGCATAATTTTTGTTCCCATATGGCATGTGTCACGGGCTCAAAGTGTGTGTACGGAAGATAATAAATGTAGGAAGATAAGGTGAGGAGGTATGGAGGTAAATGGAAGAGTTCTAATCTCCCGGGTGGTGTCACTTCAGAGCTACTGTAGCAAGAGGCAAAAAAATAAAAAATAAAAAAATACAAAATACACATTCCTGACAGACGTGTGATATCTTGAGGGAGGGGAGTGAATGAAAGACAGACAGCACAACGAAAAGAGGAAGAAGAAGGAGATAAAGCAAGAAAGAAAGAAAGGAGAATGCAGAAATATTAAAGGTGAAAAAGCATACAAAAATACTAACTGGGGCAAATGTGTATTAATTCGCATCTGAAAATAGTCCCCAAGAAATTCACTCTTTACTCCTCTCCAAGTAATGTTAGCTAAAAGGTACAATAGCTAGTTAATATAGAAAAAGAGTTAAATCAAACGATATATTTGTGACCCATTTTGGAAGATTTACTCCAGAAGGAGCCACTGGGCTTAAGGCCCTCTTTGTTTACTGTACTGACTGATTTTTGTGATTTCAATTATTATTCTAAACATAATGTACTTCCCTGCCAAAGCTGCATATATATTAATATATACTATACTAAAACAGCAAGTCAGGAGAAGGGTTTTTCTTTTTGCCAAGCTCCTTGTTTACAGTAAGACTGACAAAAAGTGAAAAAAAAAAGAAAAAGAAAAGAAAAGAAAAGAATAAAGACAGGGAAAAAAAACCAAGAAACAAAAAAACTAAAATGGAAAACTGAATACATGCAGAGCGAACAAGCAAGCGGGTAGGCTGCCTCCCATTCATTCTCATCAGCCTGTCCTGTCCCCTTAACGTCTCACTGAGAGTCGGGCTGATAGGCTTTTCACGCTGCACACCCACTTTATTTAAAAGCTTTGCCCAGTGCCATTCCCTGCAGTCAGGCTTCAGTGGCAGTCTTAAAAAAAAAAAAAAAAAAAAGAGGATAATTTACATTGTGTTGGAGACCTGACAAATGGCATTTAGCCGCAAACATGAAAAACACCTTATTTTCAAATAACCTGGGGATGAGGTTTCTTGTTGTGCTCAGTCAGGCTCACCTGGCCACAGAGAGTGAATAAAATGAAAGTGTGCCCATCTTTAAAAATGGACTAAATTGCAAATAATCAGTGCAATGCATCTGACAGAAAGTTAACAACAAACTAAATGGATTATTTCAAACCTGGCAACTAGTCAGTCAGCTCTGAGTAATCTGTGTCAGCGTGTTTGGACAGAGTGACACTCATACTCATCTGCAGATAAACGTTATCCTGCAAAGTTAAGCTCTGACAGCCTTACAATAACAAATACAGAGCAATCATCAGAGCAGCTGGAACAAGCAGAGGTCAGATTGGCGTTGACACCGGACACCGCTGGAACTGGCAACAGCAGGGGTATTGATTCAGTATCATTTGATTGCACTGCCTCTGTCGTCTCTATACAGTTCATTATGTAATGAGAAAGGACATTAACTGAAGCTGGTTGGTCCAAAGTTGTGCGTCTGCAAATAATAAAAAAATAAAAAAAACTGGATGACACAATAATTTAGTGTCTGGCTACCTGGCTTTTATCGAATTATCATATTGGCCCAGGCTGTGTCAATACTCGGATAATGTGAGATCTACATGGTGACTGAAAGCTAAAGCCCACATGGGACCTGGATGCTTACCGATGTTTTTATTTACAGAATCCAGTTTACCGAACTTTTCATCTTTGGTTTTTCTAAAAATCTCTATTGGTCAGTGTTACAATGGTTTCCTGATTGGATCATTTCTCACAATTTTGCTGCTTGACAGTTTAAGTGCCACTCCCCACCTACTGTGCAGCACTAATCCACAACACAATAAAACTGAATCCTGCTTTACAAAATTTAAATAATTCATTCCATTTAATTTTATTCCTTACTTCCAAAAAATGAACATAAATGGATCCGTTGGGTGAACTTTCCAGGGATCACTCACAGGACAGTTTCTCACAGGGATTTATGTGGACATAATCTGAATGAAGTTCTGCACACAGACAACAGTCCAGTATTGTCCTCCATCACTGAAGTGTCCGAGTCCCAACATGTGGCAGCGGCTTGTGTCAATAAAAACTCTCAGCCAATCACAGATCAGGAGACGATGGCGACTATATCCCATCTGTCAGAGCTGTCCCGGTCTTAAGTTTAAGCAGGATGGCTATGTTTTGGCTTCAGTAAATGGACCATGGATCATGGATGATTTAAACTTAGTGGAGGGTACAAATTTTTTTTAAAACATTGGTAAAATGACACCAGGGGCCCACAGAGAGAAAATAAACACTGGACACTTAAAAAAAACAAAAAAAAACAGGGTGAAATCTATTAGCTCAGAACATTCGGGGAACAGAAACAGTATTAAATTGAATATCCTCATGAAGTCCACACTAAATATCCACCTAAAATACTTTGAATCAGTATGTGTGCCCTGAAAATCTGCCAGTGTAGTGACACGCTTTCAGAATATCAATGAAAAGGCAGATCACTGCAATTCAGACCAGACAATTGTGCTTAATTAAACATTCTTTGATTCGCAGTGAAGGCGAATGTGATTACCACCAGAAACAAGTGCTCTCACATCACTAGCACATTTTTATGTTATCTAATGAGGGCATTGAAGGTCTTTAATGACTTTAATTTGAGACCAGTATGAACTGCAAAAACACTAGTTCCCTCTAAGACATGAGTTGTATGGAAAGGAAGTTTTGCACAACAGATACTGCTAGTGTAACCGTTGAGTCACGGATACAGCCATGTCAACTCTCCACAGTTATTGACTGACAGAAAATGAATCAAGAACTTTGCTACTTGATTAACTGTTTTAGGTAATTAATCAAACAAACATACCAAACAGGTTTTCTCTTTGTTTTTTTGTCTTAATAAACTAAATCCATTTGAGCTGTTTGAGTGATGTTTACACGACTCAAGACAATTCAAGACAACACTCTGGGAACAGTTTGCGTTTGTCCTTACTTTCCGACATAATTATAGAACAAATGTCATATAATGGGATGTTCAATCATAGTTCATAGTTCAAAACTTTAACATGAGAAATCATGACTTGCATCCCATCTGCTACCAACAATGTTATGTCTTAATCATAATTTGGATCTCAGTCTTCCCAGTCTAAACTTAACTAGACCTTCACATTTCTCATATAGATAGTTTGTAACGGTTTTATGGAGGATTTTAAGAGACTATGACACGCTAAATTGTTAATTTATTCAAGTTGTAATCAGATTATGCAATGACACACCTGACTCATCGACTGCTATCATTTGGCAGACACACCTTATAAAATATGCAACATACAAAATCTCATCCTTGCTGACTGCAGTTATCGAAACATGACAGAAAGTTGGAAACAATCTCCTCTCCATCTCACCGTTTCCTACACACTGTTCAAAGGTTTCAACAAAAGCATTAAATACTGATCCAATACAACCAATACAGGATCCATTTGTGCTTTTCCACAAAACAAGTTTCGATCCTCTTTTCACACTTTCTCTGTGCTTCTCTGTCTTTATTACTGAGGGAGAGTTCACAGCCATACCTACAAGTAACCACAAACTGCCCCCAGAGAGCTTCCCTCTCACACTCCAACCCTCTCATCTCTTTCTCCTTCTCCTTCTCTACACGTCTTCCTTCAACGGATCCGTCCTTTTGTCCGAGCCGCTGATTTCAGAGGCAGGCCTTTTATTCAGCCGAGGCGACAGTGAAAATACACAAGACTTGACAGTGACGGATGACTCTCTGTCAGCTCCCTGCCTTAACCAAGGACAGAGTGCTTTCTCTACTCTCCATCTCTTCTCACACACACACACACACACACTCCTGACACACGCACAAAACAATTAGTGCTACGGCTGCATCTGAGGTAAAAAGGGAGAAAATCAAATCTGTAGTCACCCGACTGCTTTCACAACCGTGTTCAGCAGCGACCTCAAACTGTGGCGAGGACTGCGAGTCTTCACTCTGCAGACTGACAAATTTGTCTTGTCAAGGAGTGAGCAAAACACCCAGCACAGGGAGCACTGCACCGATGCATAAAGAGCAAATCTGCTGAATTTATATTTGCAGATCAATATGTGCAATTTAGTGCCTGTCACTGTTGTTCCTGTACAATTTGTGTCATGTCCTGCACCAGTTATGAATCGATCCGCTCTGCAAAGCCACGAGAGGCAGGTTGAGGTTCATTTATAGTTCTTGGCACTAAAATCTGCCCCTACTCCACAGTTAAAAAAATGCTTCCCAAAAAGGTTTAATTATGTAACATCAAATAAATAAATAACAATCCGTATTATGCAAAGAATAAATGAAGAAAACATGGACAGTGAAGGTAGATCTGAGATGATATGTGGAACTTTGGACAGAGGGGCATAAGTTGGTTTTGAGAAAGAGAACTCAATGACTATGTCTAGAAATGTAGTTAGGAAAAGTTTGTTTTCTACATCTGTTTTAAAGGTCCCATATTTTACACTTTTCCTGTGTTTTATTTAAAATGTTGATCCATAAGAAAATATATTTGTGGTTTTAAGAACCAAAAACCATCCCAATGTAATTTTACATCCCATCTCTCAGGCTTCTAGTAACAACAGGTTGGTGAGCCAATCAGAAGAGAGGATGCCCTGAACTTCTCTTCTGATTGACCGACTGTTTTCAGAGTGATCTAACAAAAATATAGCAGATTTCAGGTAAACACTCAGAGAAACCAAGTTCTGCAAGGTTGGATGGTGGGTCCAGGTGGGCAGGGCTTGGGGCGTGGCTGAGGGCAGTGACTGCTTTTTTGTGACATCACAAAGTTACAGAAGTCCTAACAGCTGGTTTTAAGGCTCAGTTTCTGAATACAGGCTGTGTGCATTTCTCTGTGGACTGAGGCTTTGATACTTTCACAGTATTAATATAGAACCTAGACCTGATCTATAATCAAACAACACATATAAATGAGAAATATTACTTTATATAATATGGAACCTCTAAAACCAATTTGATGAAACTACAATACATTTGATTAACTGGACAGGTACCAGACACAAAGGATCAGCCAGTTCAACAGGACGTTTTCCAGATTAATTCCAATGTAAATTTCACATCTGTTAACGAACACGCCAAGCTAATCCATGTCAGAGGCACCCGCCACCTTGGTAAATCAATTATAATGTACATTTCCAGGAATTGATTCAGTGCAACCGGGTTACCACTCTGCCACTTTTAGTTTCCCTTTTTAACTTTCCATTCACTTATTTATTCCAAGTGGTGTTATGTTTTTCTCAGTCACTGTTAATTCGCTGTCAAAGAAAATCTAGACTTCACACACAGATTTCAAATTAAAAGCCTTTCAGCAGCTCTCAAAAAAACAGTATTTCTGTTAAAAAGAGACTCAGTAGCAGACTCTATTATATTACTGATGGAAAAGTACATTATACTGAATTGAGCCATGTGAGCTATGGGGACATTCTTTGAATTTTTGGCTTTGATATTTTAAAATATAAAATATCACATTGTATAACATCACAAAACGGTAATTTACATTTTGAATAAGTCAGATCTCCACGAGGATTTGACATATTAATCAAATACCACTTATACCCCTCAGTGCCAGGCATTAGAAATGCACTCTGAGACCAAAAACTGATGGTGATGATGGCGAAATTAAGTTTTCCTTTCCACCTTTCAGTGCACCGGTCCTTACCTGTGTTGCTCTCGGGACGAGGGGTGAGGTTAATCTCATCGGCTACTGTTAAAGGAAGGGGGGGAGGAAAGAGGGGGAGAGGGGGGATACAAACATTTGGGGTTTCAGTTAGTGCTCATGACATTCCCACATGCAACATCCAGGTAGTGCTGCAAAAAAAAAAAAAAAAAATCACAAACGGCTTCATCTCAATTAGGATCGGACGCCATGCGAGACAAGGAGGTGCGAGTGGGGAGGAGGGGTGAAGGGAAATGAAAAGAGGGTTTGAGGATAGCAATCAGACTTGTTGTGATATCAACACGGTACAGAGCGGCAATCTGGTCAGGAAGATTAGATATGATTATAGAGAGTGCGAGCAGAGAGACTGTTGCAGCCAAAGCAATCAGCGACTGTTTGAAGCCATTTCAAGGTGAATCAACATAATGAAGTTCTTGACTTTGGCGAGAGATGCAGAGTCTGTTTTCATACAAAGAGGCAAGGGGTGGGAATACATTTAAATATAAGACAATTTTTTTCTTTTTCTTTTTTTAAACATGCAGGGCTATGTGCTCAAGGTCTTCAGGGTTTCATAGATTTTAAAGTAGCTTAGGTGCACTGAGTTTATCAAATGACTCTTATAGAAGCTTCTTAATGCAGTTAACCCAACACAATCTCATATTCTGTCTGTTGGGGAAGAAGAGGAAGAAGAAGTAGAAGAAGAAGAAGAAGGGAATTTTACCACTTGGCTTGGAGGTTTTGCGATTCTGGGTTTACTGTGTGTACATGCCTCAGGAAATACTGTATGTATATGTATGTACACACTTTAAACTGCATCTTGAAAGTCATGGAATTGACAGGAAATGTGTCATAAATGTCACCAAGGGGGAAATCAGCTGGGGAAGGAAAGATAAAGAACCTGAAGGACATAACATCCTAACTTCCTGTACCTGATATGGATATTCCATTGTGTAGCATCAGCCTATACGCATTAAATTGGCGAATACGTCTCCATGCCCTCTTTGTTTTTTTCAGGTACATCAGTGCAACAAACAGGATATTTAGGAGCTTTCAGAAAAACAGACTCTCCCAGTTGTGATTACAACTTGGATCTAAATGGTATTAACAAGTCCCGAACTGACTATTGTGAATCCTGCATGACATGAAAATGACAATAAAGTTCTACCTGTTAACAATCAGTGGCGTTAAACAGGTTTAATATAGAGCGTTCCAGATGATGGTGTTTGGTGTGTAACTGATGCATAAAACCAATCTGGCCAAAAATGCTGATTCTCTGCTTCTATACTGGAGGATATAATACTAAACGTTTCTATATCAAATACGTTAAAATGTACTTGAATAACTTCCTGGAGGAATGTTGTACCTAGATCCATGCTCTTGGACTTGCGTGTTTTGATGATCTCGAGCTGAGAGGCGTCTCCAAACTGCTTGGTGCGTTTCTCCGACATGCTCTGGCGTCCAAAACCTTCCCTCTGGAAGGCGGTGTCTGGATTGTTTTCATCTTGACCCAGGGAGCTGGAGGGAGGGTGTGAAAGACGGGGATATTAGAAAAGATATTGATGTCACACAGGGATATTAAAGTGTCACAGCACTAACAGGAAAGACAATAGCAGGTGAGCCTTAAAAAACAATTCCATATTCAAAAGCATTTCCAGCATCTTCTATATAAAATATGACAAATGAAATAAAATAAATAAAAGAGGTACTACAGGAGGAAGAAGAAAAAAAAGTAAAGAAAGTGGCTTGGAGACAGAGCTGAATGAGGATCAACAGTGAAAAAGGTTCAAAGAAGTTCAAAGAACCTCTCTTCTTTGAATTCATGGGATTCAAAGAAGGAAAAAAGAAGGTGAACAAGAGATGGAGGGAAATCTAAGAGAGAATTAGGAGAGCTGGAAAAAGAGGAAGAAATTAGAAAAGGGAGGGTCGTGGCGATGAGAAACGAGCCAAGAAAGAACAAAGGGAGCTGGGAAGAAAGCACAGAGGAGAAAAAACTGAAAGATTAAAAAAAAGAGTCGAACTGAGAGGAGAGAGAATGTGAGGCTGACAAAAAGGAGAATGTGAGAGTTTTAGATAGTAGAAAGTAAAGGAAGGTGTGAAGATGTCAGAGAAATAATAAGAGACAGTGAAAGAAAAAAAAAACTAAAGTAAGACTGACAAAGTGGAAAAAAGCCAAAAAATAAAAAAATTTCGTCTTGAAGAAAAAGAGTGTGAGACAGACAAGAGTAAGAGATAAGGGAGGAGAGTTAAACACAAGAGAACAGAATAATGGGGCAAGATAACAAGATAAATAAAGATAAAAAGAGCAATCAGGGGAAGGAAAGAGACGGAAAAATGATGAAATTAAAAGGAGATTGTGGAAAGAGAGAGAAAGGGAGGAGGAGCAAATGACAAATCAGGCCCAAACACAGGCAGAAAGACATGAAGAGACGCAGAGGGACAGTGACATCAACACATAGATACAGAGCATTCCCAACACTTTGGCCCTAATTTAAAATCTCTTGCCTCTCATTAAATTATTTCAGAGGGAACTTCCTGAGAAACTAAATGATCTATTGACTGAAAACAATCTGAAAAATAATGAACAATAATCTGATTATTTGATTATTGCTAGTTGCAGCTCTGCACGTGTACAGTCATTTGCTGGACTGCCTGAGACTGACATGCAAACATGCAGTGAATAATGAGAGAGGTCCTCATCAGCACTGTGTCAGAACAGGGCTCCTCCACATCAGCCTGAGCGGAGGCCCGACTCAGTGAGGGCTGCTTACAATCAGAGGGCAATCAAGGGAGAGAGAACGAGAACATGAACACGAACAAGAACACACACACACACACACACACACACACACACACACACACACACACAGACAGACCTTGTGCAAATGTCAAGGTTTTAGAAGTGAAATATATATAACTAAATATAAATGTATTCACCATGCAACACTTCACCGTCTTCGCCTGACGGGCTGAAGGGGAAGACTTCAGTTGTGCCTACCTGTCATTCTGAGTGGGCAGCTCTTTGGCCCACTGTGGCGTCATGTCAGCGGTGAAGCCCACGTCGTCATGGGAGCTGGACGACGACTGGTCGGAGAGGTGTGGCGGGAGGAGCGGCGGCCGGTCGTCCTCTATGATCACAGTGTCGTTCTGCGGCATGTTGACGGTCGGAGAGAGCTGATAGTTACCTGGAAGAGACGGGAGGATTTCTTTTTTTTTTTTTACATAGACTGTGCACGCCCTCGCTCTCATGACTGACCACACAGATTTTAATGTCAAGTTCTTGTTGCTGGTGCTTCAAAAATCAAGTCAGACTTCCATCATACAAGAGGCAAAGGACCAATACACAGTAGCTTCCATTACTTGCTCTTCCTACAGTACAGTAGTGCCATTCCTCTGTCCATATACAGTCCACATAAAACCAACAGTTGGTCAAAACTTCTTTGTTTGTTTCTCATGGTTTTACAAATAAAAAAACACGCACATTTAACTTTTCTCAAGCTGCCAGAGCTTGTAAACACGTATGGCTCTACGTCTAAACTGACAGTCGCTTCTCTGTCAAAAGTTTGTCCGTCTTGAACTTCAATATTTTGTTTGGCATTTGCGGAATAACAACTCCCCATAAAACCACAAACTGTTGTCTTTACCTTTCTGTTTGTGTAAGGCTTTAACAAACAACATATAAAGTTTTACTTACTGAGCCTCACAGGTGTCAAGCTAGCCGTTTCCCCCTGCTTCCAGTCTTTATGCTAAGCTAAGCTAATTGCCTTCTTGTTCCAGCTCCATGTTAGTGCACACAGACGTGAGAGGTTCATAGCAGACCCTCTCAAATAAGTCTTGGCAATAAAGCCAGTAGGCATATTTACTAACCCGACTCTTGATAGCCTTGCTAGCATTAGCAAACATTTTCTTTTAATGCTCCCACATGAATCTCATTCACAAAGTCCGCCCTCTTAGTCATGCGTGTATCACTGTTATAGATTATTGATAATTATTTACAACATTTCAACAGTATCTAAGAGGAAATGACGATGACAATAAATATGTGTATCACTGATGAATCACTTCGCAGCTGCTGGTGACTCTGCAAAAAGGGCCACCATCACTGTCAAACGCTGTGTGATGTGTACATTACAAATTATGAGTCACTGACAGTTTTGTCATAAGGAGCCACACTGACACACCAGTGTGTTTTGCTGCTGATCGAGAACCATGCAAATGTGATTACAAGTTATATTTACATCCCATTTTAGGGACATGTGATCTCCAGCCTCACGTGCAAGGGGAGAAACTATTTCTTTTTGGCCTTTATTCTGATAGGACAGCGAGAGATAGACAGGAAGGTCAGGGAGAGAAAGAGAGGGGATGACATGCAGCAAAAGGGCCGCGGGTCAGACTCGAGCCCATGGCCGCTGCAGTTAGGACTAAGCCTATGTGTCACGCGCTCTACCAGGTGAGCCACCGAGGCGCCCCTGCAAGAGGACAAACTCAACAGCGTGTGATTTCCAAACCTGCAGGATTTGATTTAGATGATTACAATATGTGGTCTGGCAAAACAACTCTTATTTCTATCAGCTCCAAGGAAAATATCAGAAAAATAATAGCATAAAAAAAAAAGAAAAAAACACTTGTAAAAGCTCAACAAAAAGCTGGTTCGTTACTCAGCTTCTGCACAACACCCTCAGGAATGAATTTATTTGTGACAACAGGCAACTGCTGCATCAAGGGGTGAGACTGCCGCTCTAACTGTTTAATGGGCCAACTACCGAAGAACAAGTTTCCAAAATTAAAAAAGAAAAAAGAAAAACAGGGTAACTTTTTAAAACACAAAACATATTTTGAAGTCTAAAAGCGGAGTGAAACTGCTCCTGGCTAATCAGCTTATACCAAGTGGAATTTGGCAGCAGCCACAATGGTGTTCCTATGTCAAAACACTATGATTAATTCAAGCTGTGACCTCACAAATAAAGATAAAAACTTCTCTGTGCTGAGGCAAAAAAAACATAAAATAGTCCCCTTTTCCTGCCTCTGAAAAGCAAGGCTTAAAAACCCCCATTGATATGCAGCGCATGACTTTGTCTTTAATCTGTATTTTGAAATTGGGAGCAGTGGGTGGGTGGGGTGGTGGTGGTGGTGGTGGTGGTGGGGGGCTCTTCAGTGTCAGAAGAAGAGTAGCTTCAATGCTTCATAAAAGCCTTGTGTATTGAGCTCAGGGAGAAGTTTGTCTTTAGAAAGCGTTTGGGCTTTAAAGCCAGAGACCTGGAGGTCTAAGCCAGGCCTGCTGTTTGTTTCTCATAACCGAGCGCCGAGGGAATCAATGTGCTGGTGGGTGCTGCTGCTTCCAGCCAGTGTGGGTGAATGACCTGATGTAAATGGAGCTGAATGGAGGGGGGAAATAAAGGGGAGACCGGGTGATGTCAAACTGTGAGGCTGTGTGTGTGTTATGTGTGTGTAAAGCCAGTTTAGAAAGTCATTGGTCACTGTTAACTTTCCTTAAATATGAAGAAGTTACAGAACAAAAGCTTTTAGGGATTCATTGCACTGTTGAACAAACTGCTTTGAACGAAGAGGGACAGAATTATGAGACATTATTTAAAGGTTGCTGGGGTAAATTCTTCCATGGATTGTGCCTGGATAATTTATTCTGACCACAAAGGCCAAAAAGTAGGGACTCTAATCTAACAATACATATATAAAGGCATACAGTACATCTTCTACATAGTTGCACTCTTCAGCAGATGGAACAGTGGAGGGTAAAAGTGCTTTATTGGTTTCTGATCATTAAAAAAAAAAGAAGAGAAAAACACAGTGACATTCTGTCCTGGTCCTGGTCAAAGCTGCGAGTGTTGTCCCCTTTTCTTTGTGTTTCCTGTCTCTCTCTCTACTCTGTGTGTGTGTGTGTGTGTGTGTGTGTCTCTCTAGGCGCAGTGTTCCTTCCTGCTCCTCACCTGCTCCGCTCGACCCCTCCTCCTGCTTGCTTCAGCCAGTGCACCTGCTCCTCATCATCTCATCAGCCCTGCAGTACTTAAACCCCGCTTCTCCACTCACTCTTTGCCAGATCGTTCACTCTGCCAGTCTGGTATTACGTTTTTGCTTTCTAGTGTACTCTAGTTTTTTTTTTTTTTTGGTTCAGGCTATCCTCTATTTCCCTGTGCCTCAGGGTCATACTGCTCCTGCCTGCCTGCTGCTCATTTCCAGTCCTGCCATCCCTCACTAACAGGGTCTCCATTCAGCCACTCACCGCCCGTCTGCCTGTCTCTTAGTCACCTCGCCAGCCTGGTTTCCTCCATCATGGATTCACCGCGCTGCCATAAGAAATCCAGTTCAACTTGCTCCCCTGAGTCTGTGCTCTACTTTTGTCTCCTCATCAATTATTGGTTATATAGAAATACATATACAAGTATCTCAGAATGTGTCTGCATGTTTGTAAAAGGAGCATTCACCCTCCAACACACACTATAAGTGAGTTGGACTGCATCGACAAAAGTGTGTGAGTGCATGCCCTTGACACCGTCAGACCTTCACTACATTAACTACAACTGTTGCAATAGTTTCAGAGTGTGTATGTGTGTGCGCCCCTCCTGCTGTGTGTATTTGTTATTCAATGTGAATTTGGGAGTCCGGGTGAGCACAGCGTGGCCACTTCTCCCTCTCAGACCACACACACACACACAAATACATACACGCACATGTGCACTCACAGAACCACTTAATCCCATTTCCCTAAGCAGTCCAATGCGCGACACTGAGAATCCCATCAATGTCACAGTTTGAATCACTGCAGTACAATCAACTGGCAGCTACTGAGTAGAAAACCAATGAATCTGTCAACTCACTAGCCTGGTAAAAGGAGGAGGGAAAAAAAAAAAGCCTCTTTGTCTTAGTGCCAGCACCCAAGGGCAGCCATCCGCCAGCAACAATAGCACTGCCATGTGGACGGAGCGCACAGCCAGCATCACCTGAGAATCAAACCAATAAACACACATTATCTTTCCCAGCGGCTGTAATAATTTCTGACGGAGCAACGGTGGAACAATAGGTGGCATTTCATTTGAGATGCTCTGGGAGAGGCTATTATTAGATGCTTTTTGTGTAAAACTACTGAATACTTGAGGGCAAAGGGAGGGTGCACAGAATGGCCAGGAGGGAAGAAAAAGTGAGTGGTGGGGGGGAGTGAAAAGATTTTCTAGATGAAAATGGAGATAGCAAGAGGTGAGAATAACATGGGGAGAAAGACGCAGGAGTTTTTTTTTTTTTTTTTTCTTCCTCTTTTCATTTTGTCTTGTCTCGGTCTATTTGCATAATTAGTAAGGAGGTTATTGCCATGGGTGCTGGGCCTTGAAAGCTATTGGCCTGGAGGAATAATTAAGTCGCTTTCTTATCCCTGGCATCTTCAGAGTGCACAACGCCAGCGAGTGATCTAAGAGCGTGCGCGGGCCAAAACGCAAGCTGATATGTTCTGAATGGGAATGATGTTGTTTTCTAAGAAAGCCTAATGCATGATTTATGTTTCGTGGCACCCTCCCCTTCACAACAACAGAGAACAGACTTATTCCAAGCAAGTGTTTGAGACCCCCCCCCCCCCCTTCAGCACTCTCTTTCCCACACACACACACACACACACAATTTTATTTATTCAAGGGAGGTTTGCTGAGCACGCAAAGCTCTGCTTCGTATTCACCCACGTTCACATCTGGGCGCTGCCAAGTGCAGCTACAGCCTTCTACAGTTCTGAACAGCAGCAGTGCAGCAGCTGAGAGTCGGGCGTCTGCTTCTTCCACACAACTCAAACCAGTCCTGACACAGCCGCTGTTTGTGATTCTCCACATTTATGTCAAAGCACAGGAAAGTATTGTATGCGGAAACTGCAAATTAGCTTGTGCATTCATCTAACAGTAATTTCAGCTCGAGACCACAGCAGTTAAAAAGGTACAAACCATTCAGCTGGTCTCTCATTATAAAACACAAACACTGCCCCAAGCTTTGGTCGCACCTGCCAAACGCTTGATTCTGCCGCATTACAGATATAAAATCCCCAGTTTTATTATTTTTTGTTTGTGTTAGTTATAATTAGTTTCTGTTCTAGTATCTATTGGTGCAGATAGTTTTGGTTTTCATTGTTATGCATTTTAAATATCCTCAGTACACCAAAAAATAACATTTTAAAAAAACTTTGGCTGTGGCATCTCTGGGTAATCCACAGGAACATGCTGTAGTGAAAAATATGTCATGCGTTTTATTAAATCTCATTTATAATGCTTTTGTGATTTGTGTGAAACGACAAGTTAAATTCAAGTCAAGATTAGAAGTTGTAACAACTATTAAATTTACTGTCAATATGAAAATAGTGAATGGACTGCATACAGAGCTTTTCTAGTCTTATCGACCACTCAAAGCACTTTACAATGGAAGCCACATTCACCCATTCACATACACACTCAAACAGCTATTTTATACCATACACACACACACCCACACACACTGGGGCAATTTGGAGTTCAGTGTCTTGCCCAAGGACACTTTGAAACGCAGACAGGAGCTGGGAATGGAACCACCGGCCATCCGATTTGTGGGCGACCTGCTCTACCTCCTGAACCACAGAAGAATGAAGAAAGTCACACAAATATGTCTATAATCATTTGCTAATGTAAGGGTTTAGTGCTCATAAGTACCATTTTAGATGTTAAATTACCATTAAATACACTGGAAGAAGATAAACTGAACTGCAGGAACAAGCAGATATGGAGTGTATGTAACAGACACTTCCAGGACACAAGGGATCGAGTTGGTTAACTTTGTTATTCTCTCAAAATGACATTTTATCGCTGGCAAATAATAATTCCCTTTCACTTCTTTCTTTCACATGAACAACTTGTAATATGTAGGTAGGCGTCTCATTTTTCAGCTGGTGAAGTCATTTAAGAATGAATCTTCGGCTGTTAATGTAAAAACACCTTTGAAAAGTGAACTTAAAGCAGCAAGCTGAGGACAGCTTCAGGCAGAGTCTACCAGCTTAAACCCCGGGGCCTGCTGGCCTTTATCCTCTGTGCTTAGCCCACAGTGACAAATTAAACAACAGTTCAAATAAAGCCTTAATCCTTTGCCTACCTCTCCAATCTCACTTTGACACAAAACCACAGAGTGATGTTCTGGGGGAAAAAAAAAAAAAAACATACTGCTTTGATATCTCTAGGTCAACATGGAAAATGGACCAGGTTTTATAACGCAACTCGATTCTGAGTGATTCAGAGACCACATGGAGGAGGATGGTCCAAAATATTTTACATGACAAATTGGGGATGAAATTCTGCCTTTGGTGGTCAGGGAAAAAAAATAAATACTCCACTGGGCAGATTAAGTGTTTAATAAGCAGGGAAATGTCTCATGTGTCTGTGATAGTTAGTAATTATATAGCGCGCGCCCCTCCACAGGCCAACCTCTGAGGGCTCTGGTGTCCCATCCTGTTGAGACTGGGGTGAAATATTCGGAGGAGCAGCTCAGTCTGGCCACTCTGACGTCTTAATTTCTCTGCTTAGCCCCGACAGTTTGAAGTGAAAACACAAGAAACACACATGCAACAGGATGAAAAAAAGCCGCAGGCGCTGGTCTTTGATGAGTCAGGAGGCACACACTTTTTTTTTTGTTGATAATCCTCAGAAGACGAGGGATGGATGTCACTAAACACTACGTCAGTGCTGAGGTGAATTGACATCTTTAGTATAATCCTCCCTGTTCTTAATACGGTCGATGACTATATACTGCTCCGTGTTTTGAACAATATTTAATCTTATTTAAGAGAAGATTGAGGGCAGAGGTACACATACCAATAATAGCTTTGTATTTTATCTATTTACCTTTACATCATACCTTCACTTACTTCCTTTTCTCCTTTCCTTTTCTCCTCACCGACTTGCTAAACTACATTTTATGTAGTTTTCTTCTTTACCACATTACCTAAATTCCCTCTTTTCAGATTTCTTGTAACCTCAGGCTGATTTTGACCTTTCTACTCACCTGTCTTCTTCTGCAAAAATGCCCAGAATGCTGAAGCAAGAGTTACTCTGGAACTATTCTGTCCACTGGCTTGAAGGATGAAAAAATGACCTCCAGTAGTGTTTACACTGATTTTAGGGTGTTATTTAGTAATACAGTCCTGAATTATGGAGCTGTCCCTCAGTTGCAGTATATATTTTAGGCCTCTTAAGCTCTTATGTGCCCTTTTCCAACCTCAAGGCCTTTCATGTTTTTTTTTTTTGGCTGTTTCTTGCTTTAATGTTCTGGAAGAATAAATCTGTCTGTCCTGTTTCTAAACTGAACACTCTTCTTCTTTCCTGCAAATCCATCTTCAGTTTTATTCTCCAGCTTTAAGGCACTAAATGTCTGCATATGTTGATGGTGGCACCATGTTTTATGTATTTACCGGCTTTATCCAGCACTTGCATCAACAGTTGTAAAAGCAGTGAACCTGCAGAGATCAGCTTTTCTGGTCGCGTCATGTGACAATGATCTTCTTTGTCACCGTTGAGCAACCGCTGTACCTCCTGTACATCTGCCTTGTGCTTTCACCCCGACCCTGAACGCTCATTAGAAGCCGTTGTTTGTTAAGCATGGATGAACGCAGCCGCCGTGGCGGCGTGCTGGAACTTCACCTATCAACACTTCCTCTGTCACTCAGACCTTTTTTTTTTTTTTTTTTTTTGTTAACACTAACAACAGTGGCAATGTCAGGCAATTTGCATGAAAGGAAAACAGAGTTCACACTCTCACATTATGTTGCATTGATTAATGAGGTGGAGTTGGGAGCAGCTCATTTAAAAAACAGATTAAAAGTTGGAGAAGCAACTCTTCCTCTGCTTAATTAATTTACATTTAATGTATTTTGTGCCCTTCTATTTCTGGACTGATTCAGCAGAAGAAGATTTCAAAGTATTTATGTTGGTATTTTGACAAATGCAAAGAAATGAAACAACTGCAGAGGACACGATGTACACCAACCCTTAATTTAACACAGGCAAACTGAGCAGTTACACTATCTGGCATACAGAAGCCTTTCTTTGACATTAGGTAACTTCACCGCCCGTCCATCAATCATTCAAGCGCTACACACACATGCAATCCTGCACAGATGCGTACAAAGCTCTCACAGATACAAATATGCTTGCTAATCTCATGCACTCTGTCCCACACGCACTCGCTTCCAAACCCGCCTCAGAGCTGGATTGAGCAATGACAGATAGGTCATCTAGAAACTCGAGACTCATAAACATGCAAACTAACACACACATGTACAGCTACACTTTCAGAGAACACGTAAAACAAACACAGCCAGACAGAGAATCAATCACTCGCATGGGGGATCTGCTGCAACAAACTGTCTGGGGGGACATTTTTCCATCTCTGTCTCTGTCTCTCTCTCCCTGACATTTTCCAAGACATTAAAAGCCACTGAGCTCTTGACAGGAAGTGAGACCAGATGACACAGTTATCCTATATTCTGTGCTGACAAAACCTGGAAGGGTAGATAATAGAATCTACCAGGAAAACACAGACTAGCAGAAGAGAAATGTTGTAAAAGTTCCACGTTTATTCTGAGACGTGTCCTATTTTTCTGTTTTCTGTGACATAGTACTATTCTTATAGTGTTTGTATAACTGATGGGAATCTTTACCGATATTCACCATCTAACACCCAGCACCAATCCCAGTCTTAGCATAGGAACATAGCAGGGCATCAGACTGAGACAGACCTTAAAATAAACATCAACCTCAACTAGCGAGGAAACATCAAGTGGAGGAATAAGTTACATCAAAAGACATGTCACTCTTACCTATTGTGCGTGGCATCATGCCTTGTCGTGGCATCAGGTTGTCATCAAGACCCTCCAGGCCACCATACAGGGAGTGGGAGATTCGGCGCTCGTGGTCATCCAGAGGGGTGCTCATGGTCTGCTGGGGTCCCAGTGGGCTGCCCGGTGTCTCCTGATTGAACAGAGGGTGGTGGAATTAGAATAATTATCATCAATTTACGCAAGCTTTGCTCTTCTAAACTCAAGTAAATCAAAAAGGTTCCTCCTCTAGCTATGCACTGTGTGGTTTATTTTCTCTTATTATGCTCATAAACCTTTGTAGATTTTTTTATTTTAGAGTGTTCCGGGTTCTGTGTGGAGGCTTGTGGATGCAGCAGCCTTTAGCAACGGCTAACTTTTATCTGTTTTGACTAGTTGAACCATTTGGGAAGTGCTTCGAGAAGGCATGGGCATACATGTCCATGCAGAACAAATAATCCTTTGTGTTTGAGTAGGAAGCCATGAATCAATGCGCTAAACCTCTTCTCACAGTTAAAGCACAGTGTAAAATAAAGAATATTCAAGACCTATGAAGAAACACGAGGGGAAAAAGAGCAAGAGTTCAGCTAACACTAAATAAAAGTCAGACAATGAAGGCGGGGGAGAACTAGCCACGCTAACATTTGCTAAACAATAATGGATGGATGAGGGCAACTATCCATGCTAATGCTAGCAGTGTGATAAATGAGGATAGATTTCCAATAGGCTGTTAAGCCACAGGCTGTTAGCGGGCTAGCATTCCCCTGCAGGGAGGACGTTAGCTTGCCTGCATCTTGACATTTCCCTGAGGACCCGTGATGACACTCTCTTGTTTGCTGGACAAATAGACTATTTGCTGGCCCTGTCACCCCTAAACACACATCTGCGGCCTGAGAAAGTGTGTGTGTGTCGTTTGTTGTGTGTGTGTGTGTGTGTGTGTGTGTGTGTGTGTGTGTGTGTGTGTGTGTGTCTTGGCCCTCATTGCTTGTCCATTGGATCGTTGACTGTATTGATTTGCTATGCTTTCTGCATTTATTGCTCAAGGTGGTGACAGCTTGTGCCATAAAGATAACCATCATCGCTGGCATCACAAAAAACGAGCGATAACACTATCACACTCGGGTCAATGCTGGAGCCAAATGATCCCAATCAATGACTATAACTAGCCAGGCTGGGGATTCGATTTTGGCAGAAGGTCTTTGCCCAATGATTCTTTCAGCTCACTAAATGCTTGAGGTGCTGTAATAACCACTGCAGAATGGATCCTGACGCAAACAAACAAGCTCAGTTTGCAGGAGAATACATGTGAATGTGTGCACATGAGGATTTTGGCAAAAGTGTGAAGTGTAATGAAGTGGATTTCAGATTAGAAGGATGCGTGTTCAAATTTCCAGAGTCTCAACAACCACAAATGAGCTTTTCTCTATGGTAGAAGATCCAGAACTTATCTTAGGTAAGTATCTCAGCAAAATGCATTTAAGTATCAAAACGGTGCTGGTGGTGCATTTACACACAAGCAGCACTTAAATGTTGTAGTCGGCTTAACTTTATATATCAAATGGCCTTGCTCCAAATAATATCAAGGACTTATTAACCCTATATGTGCCTTGGCATTCACTTATTAGTGGCTGGAGCTCTGCTGGTTATTCCTAGGTCTCGGCTAGTTACTAAGGGTGACCGGGCCTTTGCTGTTAAAGTGTGGAACAGCCCACCTGAGATCAGACAACAGTTTCTTTTAAAACTCTTCTTAAAACATTCTTTTGTTTTTGTGTTTTATTTTACCACTATACAGATAATTTATATTTTTGAGTAACACACCTCTGTTTTATGATGTATTTGTTTTTAATTGCAGTTTTTTAATTCCCCTTTTTCTTTCTGTTAAGCACTTTGTAACTTTGTTAAGAAAATTGCTATAAAAAAGTTTATCATTATTATTATTATTATTATTATGCTCAGTAATGTTTCAAGGAATTTGGTTATTGTATAGACATGATAAGAGTTTACATTCTCCAACTACAAACATATTACTTACGTTTTTTAAATTTAGAATATAAATGTAGTCCATCATAAGAAAAACTTTTTCTTTTCTTTTCTTTTTTGCTGCTCCAGGACAAAAGAAATGACTTGAATCAAAGCGAACTAAACAAACAGAAGCTACACATAGAAGCAACAAATCTACTGCAAACTACAAACTAATTTCTATGGTCGCCATACGGTGCTGTGACTGTTGGCATGTGGCTCCTCTTGACATTAAATGAGAAAGTTAATGAATTGGCCGGCTGAGGGGCCCGGGGTGAAACGCCTCAGTAATAGTCGAGGGGATTCGCCATACTGTGGGCGCATCGACAAATCACACCGCAGCTCATTGCATATTCAGGCTGATAATTGAGCTCGGGGAAGGTCTCGATCCCATCAGGTGCCAACGGTGATGAGGAAGTCAGCTGCTCTGGGTTCACTGTGTTTCTATGGGGACGGAGGAAAGAACGGGAGCGCTTGGGCTTGTGATTTATGCAAAGGCAAACATTTGAGATTGATTTGAGATTGGCTGTCAAGGGATGGAGACATGGGGAGGAAAGTAAATACAGGATTATTTGATCCCATATGTCAGTAAATGTCAAAATGAGTCACAGCTTTCAGCCTATAGTAATTTGATTTTAACTAATATTTGATGGACAGCTGGTTATGAGGTATTAACAATCTATAGAGCCTCTGTAGGGATGCTCTAAATCAGCTCTGAGCCATCTCTTTGAGTTTGAGTGCATTAAATTGTTGTTTTCCTCCTCTCTGAGTGCTTGGACACTATTTCTTATAAATAGCCAGACACTTGGACAGCCTCAGGCCATGCCTCCAGCTCTGCATGTGAAGCAGAGATTGACGAGACTCCCAGTGCTCAAATTTTATTCATCCACCATGCTCTCTGTGAAGTCTCGCTGCCTTGACATGTCCACAATACACACAAATACACGCAGGGTATCTGTTTGCAAACCAACACACTGCAGGATCCTTGAAAATAAATGCATACATGCATAAGCCGGATGTACAAAAGCACAAACTACACGTTTATACACACATATATGCGCAGGGGCCCGACACTGTGACATGTGCACGCGCGCACACACACACACACACACACAGACACACAAACATAAAACACAGCTCCAGGCTTAGCCTCTGCTTTCAATTACCAGACGGGCCGAGGGGAAATCAAAACTTTGACACACCAGGTTGGAAAAGGAGAGCAGGGGAAGCCAGGCAATGCCAGAGGCGTACACGTGCACGCAGATGTGCACAAATACATACACACACACGCGCGCACAGCAGTGGTGCACACAGACTCAGCCTCAGCCTTCAAGCAGGCGACAGGCCAAGGTGTACAGAGAATGTAAAAACATGACATTGAGGAGAGGGAAAAAAGTTGTGCAGCTCAGTTCACAGCCATGTTTTTTTTTGTTTTTTTTCCCCTCTTCTTCAACTGCCTCAAGGGAGGTGAGTGTGTGTGGGAGGGGTTGGTGAACTACAATGACCCGACTACTTACTTTTTATTCCATGAAACGAGTCATTTCTGCTCATGAGGGTATTTCCCAGTGATTTGCTGTGGTTTGTGTTGTATATTTATCAGAGAAAGGCTCTTATTGAAGTAGTGCCTGACAACTCCATGTCCACACAAGTGTCTTTATTTAGGACAGCAGTGTCAGATGAGTTCAATTTATTTGCAGGAAAACACAAATGGAAACTTTAATTAAAGACACTTTGATCATAATAAGGTTGGAAAGATTTTGATCAAATGTATTAAATTATCTGTAATGGCAATACTAAAATAGACTGGGTAGGATGTGATGACCTGCCACACCATTTATGTCAAACTCTCAAGACTTGCAGACTGAAACAGAACACTTCTTGACTAAACTTCAATCTGGCTCTGAAATTGCTCATTTTAAAATGACAAAAAGAGATTTTTTATTTATTTATTTTTTAAGATTTTGATGTAATTAATTATCAGCAATCAAAGGAAAGTGATATCCTGATTCAAATCCCTGATGAGCCAGAAAAAGAAAAAAAAAAAGAAAACATCAGTACACTGTGAATAAAAGTCTCCCTTTACTCAATAGCGAATGATGACATGTCCTCGTGTGGAGTGTTACCCACCCCCAAGATTGCTAGGGGGTCAACAGTTAACGCTACGGTACAGCAGCTGTAATGTGTAACTCTGAGGTGTGAATGTGTGAAACTCGTGTGCTGCTGCTGCTGCTGCTGCTGCTGCACAGGGTTATATGAGCTCAGTCAGGGCAAATAAAAGAATGAATCATTATGTTTACATGTGCTGCAATAGTTCCGCATCGTATTTACACCAGTACTATATGATTTGTTTCAACATGGATTTTATTTTTCAGTGTGATGTTGATGTTTTACTTAATTGGTTCAGTTCTCGAGAACATTTTGACAAAGTTACACAATGGAGTCCATTAGGACAACCAGCAGATAGTCCGGGTAATAACCTTAATGGTCCAAATATTCTTCTATATTTGTTTTCATTTCTAAGTGGTTCACAGAATATGGTTAAATCTGGGAGCTGCTTAAAACCTACTGTATGTGACCACTTGTGTTGTCTACCCTAATGGACTTCTTTGTAAAATGTGATCTCAGCAATGAATGCTTCGAGTAAAACCTTATCATAATAAAAGACCAGAGCTACAAAACTTTTTCAAGAATGGAAAGTGGTCTCAGACTTTTGGATGCATGTTTTTGTATTGTATTTCCTCAAATAGGTACTGCGGCCTTTGTTTACCTCAACTGCAGATGGTAACTGTTATTGGACGCAGGCCTTTATTTGTAGTTCCTTCTGTTTGAAGCCTCATTTTGATCAAATCCAGTTTGTCCTGTTTAAGTTACTGCATTACGCTGATAATACAAACTCAACACTTCCTGTAGCCGTTTCAAATTAAATCTGGTTTCCGAGGACAGTGACATGACAGTATTGATTTGATCATACAGACTCAAACTGTGACATTACTCATGTAAGGTTATCAGAAAGTTCAACTGGCAATGTCTCTTTGAGTACGATACTAATCAAATTAATACTGATATACTGCATTCACAGTAATTACATATTAACCGGACAACTATAAAGAGATAGAGAGATAGAGATATATTCCAATTCCATGTTCCTTACCTCATTTCGTTTGGCCACTCGTCTGGCCACGATGAGCTGGATCATCCCACGTTTGTTGCCTTCCGTTGACATGGACTTGCGGAGCGTCTCCATGGCGTCTTGGTTGGTTTTGCCCAATAGCGACTCCCCGTTGACAGCGATCAACTGGTCGTTCACTCGGAGCCGTCCGTCCTGTTGGGAGGATAAGAAATGACACGTAAAAAAAAAAAAAATGCATCTTTTGGGGTTTAAACTCCTAAAAGCACAGAAAAGAGTGAATACTGTATTATATTATGTAAATGCTGTGTGATAAAAACTAAATATCTCTTAACAACAAGCTTGATCTCATCTAATGGTCTAATAGTCTCACTCTCAGAGTATCCTGTTTGTAGCCATGATCTAATCTCTAACAGAGAAGTGTGCTTTGAAGTCCATTATCATGAGCTGTCAACACAAACTTGTTTGATGAAAAACAATCAAGTTGAAAGACTATTGAGATTGACTGCAGCACTAAAAGACAGCAATGGAAAATAGGGCACTTTGGGCTCATAGATTTTATCACAGCTTTTCTTCATAGCTGCTGAGTCACTTTCTCTGTTAGAAGTTCCACAGAAACACGACTTTCAGCTGGTGTTAAGCTGTTAGCTAAGGCCTGACATTGGTAAAATCATCTTTAAGGTTTAAAGCTCTTCAAGCATCTGCACAGACAGTCTAATGTAAAGTGTCAAAAGACAAAATACATAGAAATAATTTCAATGTATTCTACACGGAAAGTGGCTGCGACTCCCCGAGGATCAGATACCCATAAATACAAACTTCCCTGTGATGTTGATGGTCCAAATAAACAACACCTGGTTTATTTCTGCTGAAAGAAAATCTCTCTTAGAAGAACAGATGCCACATTTCTAAACCTTTCTTTTATACTTCCACTACAGCTGAGGGTATCGCACCTTGCATGCCGCCCCTCCATTGATGATGGATTTCACAAAGATGCCCAGGTCGGCGTGGTTCTCCTTGGAGCGGTTGCCTTTGACGCTGACACCCAAACCTGCTGAACCCGAGTCACTGAGGGGGATCTCAAAGGTCAGGAACTCCCGGGTCCCATCTGGAGTCAGGACCAGCTCATCCTCCTCTGTCTTCTTTGAGAGAGGCAAACAAAGGGAGACGTTTATGGCAAAACATATACCGTCCTAAAGATGACCCCCTTACCCAACCAGCAACAACAAAAGACCATAAAGCCATGGTTCACGTTAAATACAGTTAAACAGCTCATATAACATAATGCATAATTAATCATACAAAAACATTCATGCCTTTATTCCAGCCTAAAGCAGTATCACGAAAAGCTCCTTCAGCCTTGCAAAGCTCTCACCATGCTGCTGTGGGTTAGCCAAAGGGCCAAAGTTAAAAGGACGTTCATTTGGCCACTTGAGGTTAATGAAAAGTGCGTGCACATAAATTGCAGCGGGGCAGATAGCAGGGAGGTAAATCAAGAGTACAAGCTCATTAGCTACATCAGATATATTAGTGTTAAACAGACCAGCGCTCCTAAGTGTTAAATCAGGTACTTAGTATAAGAAGGTGGAGAGTTATGTTGTATAATCAAGACACAATGCTCAGGTTCGTTAACACTAAAGCATGTGGTCCTTTAAAACCTTTAGGAAAGTGTCAGCCTCAGGTTAGAGGGGGATTTTATCAGGTTCAGGATGTGATGTGTTGTTGTTGTCTTTGGTTTTCTGTGCTGAAGAAACGGAGAACGGCTGAATCAGCACTGGCACACTGTCACAGTGAGACAGGATGATGAAGACTGAGACTATAAAGATCAAAAGTGATTCATTAATATGTGAAGCTCCTGATTTACATATGAAACAGATGTAGTCTGGTGTTGTTTGCTTCCGATGCACAGCCTGAAGCTAGTTTTTATCAAAACTTCTGAGTTCTTGCAGCTACACTGATGTCCTGTTTCCCACATGGGATGAATTTCAAGTTCGGTAGCCAGCTCCACTTCTCAGAAATAATACAACAACATCCTGTTTCAGGTCCACCACATCAGAATGAATGCATTAATGGTGGAGTCATTTCTGCAGGGTTGCAATACAAATCTCCACTATGTGAAAATCACAACAAACTGATGAGCACAGTGCCAGCATTCCTGGCTATAAACACTTCTGTGTGTTTACCTGCAGCTGCTGGTAAAGAACAATACAAGCCCTTAAATTAAAAACCTGTTGCTTCAATCCACACTTGAACATCTGTCAGCACATTCCTGCTGCTGACATGATATTATTGAGTGTGTATATGCAGTTAATGCTGCTCTTGTCTGGTGCTGAAAATAATTTGTGTGTAGTGTGTAGAGTGTAGAAAATGTAAAAAACCTAAATTTAATTATTTTAAAGCCTTTGAAATGTCATATTCCTATTGCATATCCATAAAAATAATCTCAAACAGAAAAAGGTTTTTTTTAATCATCCAATGAGTTAATGCCTCCTGCCTGATTTTGGACTATATATACAATAATCCTTTATTCTTTCAATAAAACACATCCAAATCAGGCTAGAGCCGATATTTAATGATATTGAATATTGCGATATTTCCCATGATATGATATATTTTTCATAATGCCAATTTTTTTTCCTTGCACAGTGTGCCCTGCAGTCTGACCCTCATTTCACTGCTTTGCTAATTTTACATTGGACCTCGGCGTGTGACAAACAAAACTGCTGTTTCGAGCCAGCATCATTTAAACATGAAACATATAATACAATAATGATTTATTATAAAAATATAATTATAATATAATATTTAATATGATATATATATATATAATTTAAAAAAACTACAGAAACATAAATAATACCAATGATATTGTATATCGCAATATTTTGGCTGGACTGTATTGAGATTTTTAATTTTGAATATCGCTCAAGTCTAGTCTAAATATGACCCAATGCTTATAGTTGGATTAAAAATGCCAGAGACAACAAGCATCCTTGATTATTACATACTTGACCTAAACTCACAGTCATAGTTGTGATGTTAAGCCTAAACCCAAGCCATGAACTTATTACAGCTTTAAACAAAGTAAAACCTAATTCTAATCTTTACAGAGTTTTATCTAAAAAAGGTTTCAGGCAGAGGCTTTGCACTTTACCTAAAGAACAAATTCAACACACCATGCACCTGGCTTGTGATACCAAGTGCGTCAAACTGGCAGTAAACTTCCCAGCAACACTACATGAACACAGCAGCCTAATTGACATGTTGAGTGCACTCTCACTCTCTCACTCTCTCTCTATTTCTCACAACAGGTGCTTCTCTCACTCTTTCTCTATATTCATTTTCCCTCTCTCTTCCAAGCTCAACAATAAAAAGCTATTCTCTCTTGCTTGTTATTTGACAGCTGTCCTCTGAATAGATGGGTGCGTGCACGCTCGCGCCTGGCAATTATTGTGCACGCCTAATGAATTCAATCATCGGGCTCGGTGTCAGCATGTCATTAGCTCCCTTTGTTTGCTGGGAGAGAGATGGGATTGCTCTGGGTGGAATGGGGAAGGGAGAAAGAGGGATGGAGGGGAGAGGCAAAGTGGAGGAGGAGGAGGAGGAGGAGGGTAAAACAAGGATGTACGGGGTAAGGGAGGGAACAGAAGGAGGGAAGGAAGGAGGAAGATAAAGGACAAGCAGACATGATGAGCTCTGTCAGGGTGTGTGCATGTTTCAGAAAGACAAATAAATACTACCTGGAATAAATTTGTGACATAATTAAAAACAAAACAGGAAAAATTGGATATTAGGCACAACTTGTGCAAAGTGCTGAGGAATAATGACACATAAGACAGTCAAATTCATTCTGTCTGAATTAAATTTAAGGCTAATCAAAAAAGTGACCAACAATGACTTAATCCTCTTAAACTTAAAATGGAAAACAAGGAAACAGGAAATTACTTATGACAGCAAGAAAACACAGATGTGATGTAATTTCAAGGTTAGAAATATGACATTTAACTGATTTAAGATAGTTCAAGATCAATAATGCCCTTAATAGAGCAGACAAATCTTATTTAAATGAGTTTCACTTTCACAATACAGTACATCACAAAATTTCTTGAAACATTGATGCTGTAAAATATCGTTGGTAACCTTCAATTTCAATGTCTATAAATAAGACAATCGCAAACACGGTTGTGGCTAAACATTGTTAATTCTGCGACTTCTTCAGACAACATAATAAAATTGTTTACACTCAGCCTAGGGTTGCCACCTTTTATATGAGGAAATAAAGGATTGGGTTTTACTTGACATTACATTATTCACAACACAGGCCATAATCTACAAAAATATCGGACAAATTTGCGTCTCGTATTCATTCAATACAGGAGGCAGCATTTTATTTTCAAATACAGGACGATCCTGTATTATACGGGATGGGTGGCAACCCTAGCTCAGCCAAGCCAAGCTAGTCTAGTTAGCTAAGTCTGTTTGCATCTCAGAAAGACCAAGCCTAGCTCATAGCATCACTTCATTTTCAGACAGGAAGTTTACTGTTTTCTCTGTAGTTTTTGAGCATCACAGACACTTTCCTGATAGTGAACAGTAGTCTTCTAACATCTAAACACAGGTAAGCTAACTGTTATCCACACCTGTGAAGCAGCTCGTCTCATCAATCTGTGAAGCAAACGTAATGCTAGCTTAAGTGCGGAGCCAACAACTGTATCATTAGTGGTTGTCGGTACTTTTTATTCTTAGCTAAAGATCCACAAGAAAGAAGAACGCCTCATTTTTATGTTTGAAAGTCTAGAAAGTCTTTTTGCCTTTGAAAAAGTCTCGCTAGTGCAAGTTACGTAGTCTCATCGTGTTTTTAGTAATTCGTTTTCTCAGTAGTTTTCAAGCATGACAGACGGCTGGCAGACATACACATCATGTCACTCAAACTACTATCATATTCAGTATTCAGAGCTGTGAAGTAGCTTCCTGCCAGTCTGTGAAGCTAACATTAGCTCAAGCAGATAAAGTCATGATTTACCAGAAGGTTGTCATTATTTTTTTTAAAAAGAGGCTTCAACAAGCATCTACATCATTTTATCCCATTTTTCCATGTATAAATGAGGTTGTACTTGATTGAAAAAATATATTTTTTATTAAATATTCAAATTACCTGACACAAATGGGTCAGAAAAATCTAAATACTTTTACATTTTGCTTATTTCAGAGATTTTAAAAGACTTGAAGGATGAAGGAGGATTTTAAAAAAAAAAAAGAGGGAGGAAAAAAAACACAAAGTAAGCCGAGTTTGAGCGAAGGTGAGGGGAGGCAGAGGAGTGATGGGCTCGAGAGGAGGGACAGAGACAAATAGAGCGAGGGTGAAAAGGCGAGGAGCCGCAGAGAAAAGGCTAAAAAAGAATGAGAGAGTGCGAGCATGACAATGACAGAGTGAGCGAGCGTGCGGGTGTGAATGAAAGGCAGGCAGAGAGAGATGAATCCATGTGGAACACAAAAGGAGACAGACGCTGCCAACCTCTCTCACTGTACGTCTGTATCTCTCACTCTCCCTCTCTCCATCTTCTTCTTCTTCCTCCACCTCCCCACCTTTTTTCACCGGTCTTTTTATACTGCTCTCCACTTACTTACACTTTTTTTTTTTTAAAACATCTCCCTCTGCTCATTTTCTTTTTTTTTTTTTTGCTGCCTCCCCTCAGTAACCCTCATTTTCCTTCTCTAGCTTTCCACAACCTCTCTGTCTCCTCTTTCATTTCTCTTTCTTCTTCCCTTTTGTTTCTAAGAGTATGCCTATTCTAAACCAGCTATATGTGAAGAGCAATAATGTTCTGTTTGTGCCACCTGAAAGCAGAGATTCTGAAAACAGCAAAGCAGATGAATCTCAAAACGCCGGCCTTATGTTTTACTGTGGACTGAGTAAACACTCTGTCACTTTCCCTTAGACTCTCCCTCTTTTATTTGTTTCCACCCTTCATCTCATTTTCCTTCTACCCCAGAACATCTAAAGTACGTCTCGTGCTCTCCGAGCCTCCACTCTTCTTTGTATTCCAAAAAGTGAGTCCATCTTTAGCATTAAGAGAAATTAAACTCCACATCTTTTCCACTTTCTTCTTCTTCCTCTCCACACTCACATGCTCTGCTCTCC